GACATCCATCACAACTTTACCTATACGACTAAACGAATAGCTAGGTCTGTATCAAGGCTACTTGGTAAGGAGATGGTTGGGTGGCCCAGGTTGGCCGAGGGGTCTAACGATCCACAGTTTCGAAATGGTTTGGTCTATTTCAAGTTAGCGGTGACCTGTGAATGGTCATGGCAGTCACCGGCTAAGTTGTTGCAAAACATCAGTACAACATAAATACGATTTATAACATTATCAAAGGCTTTCTTCAATCATCTGCCTTTTGTTGAGTTTACATATTATATTATGTCACTTAAGACATCGTTCTAGCCAAATCTGATCAGGTCAAATAACAGAGAAAACCCTATTTTCGTAAACTATATGATGTCGTAATAATCATTTCAACGGGTTGATCTATAAAGAACCACATTACTTTCTGGTCAGATCTAACACAATGAATGAATTTGTCTAAAACCCTTTATCAAACGAGACGTCTGCTAAGCATTTTAGCGCGCCGCCATTTTATGGCCTCTTTATTAACAAACCATCATAAACGTCATAGTTGATTGACAGACTAAAATAATCATATAAAAGTCGTCAAGATCTATTTTAGACAACCTCTATCTCCATATTGAAACATCTTGTGACATAAGTTGTTATCTGCCACCCAAAATATCTCATGATTATTCTATTTCCGGGTCATTTATATCTCAAAACCGGTGAAGGAACCCATAAAATCTCATTGACTCTCGCAAGAAACTAATAACCCGTTTGGCTTCAGTGTATCATGATGTTGGCATCAAGCTTTTCCGTTATTTCCTCGTCAGCGTAACAGACCACCCCGTCAGTTAAATATTAACCACTATTTGTCTTCCTTTTACAGTCTTATGTCGTCACAGACAGATATAAATATATACCTTATTGAATTAATCTAGGTTTAAATAGAATTCGTAGCTAACAATTCATGCATTATTCTAGAAATAAAAAAAAATTAGTTATGATATCAATGAGTTAAACACTTTAGATGTCTGGACGATCGTTAGATTATCAATAGATAATGTTACTATCTCCTTTACACTAGTGTTATTCAAATTGATCTCGTTATAGATTAATGTTTTAGCGAGTGGATACATCTACACAGACGGGTTGTACAATTCTGAGAACAGCACGACGAGCTTCAGGATGTCACAGGCAACGCATAGACTGCAATGTCCAACGTGACGTGCTCTTTTTTTGCACACGTCACAGGTGCCCTAATGTGGATATTCAGATGAAATTTACTTCGGCGCTCCGGCGCCCAGTGGGCGGGAACCTAAAGTGATAAACCAAAGGGGTAAAGATGGTCGGATATACCAACGTGAAGGGTGTCGGGTGGCTTTGGAAGGGGTCGTATTGTGGCAAAACAACGCGAAAATTACGAGACCTGTAGGGTGGCAACGCAAGCCGAGCTGCACAAGCATGACATCACCCCATCGGACCTGATTAGGCTATAGCATTGGACAGAAATATGAATAGAACCTAACAGTACCATTGGACACTGTATTTCAAAAACAGGACTGTTCTCTAGAAAATGGAGGCGATAAATTTCTTACTAAAATGGAATGAAATGAAATGGGGTTTAACGTCCTACTGTTCTGCTACTAATCTGGGCTAATGAAGACGGACATACACCATACAGTGTGCTATGAGGGAAATTTTGCCCGGGCAGCGGCGCTACGGCCTACTCTTATATCGAATTCCAACTGGCAAGGGATCTTTTACGTGCACGCCAATATGTACACGGGACCTCGGTTTTTCATCCCATCCGAACGACTAGACAGCTGTCCTTGTCGGGCCCTCCGTCCTGCATCACTGACAAGGGGAAACCACGCCGAAAAACCTGGATGAATATTGTCGGCGAATGCAGGGATCGAACACCCTGGATTGGCCGAGAAAGTTCATTCAGGTTTTTCGGCGTCAGCTAGACTAGCCTCTCATATCATGCACGACTGAATTTTCCTGCAAGTCTCGTAGGAGGCACTTGTCTATGATATTAGCCCAGGTGGAAGAAGGCGAAGAAGCTAAACACAGTTCTAGTCACTATACAGCAAATGCTGTGCCTTTAATTAATGGTTGCTACTAAGCAAGGTCGTTGGCTAACAAGTATAATAACTCTCTAATTTTAGCAGGTAATTTAGACGGATCGGGTGACATATTCCTCGCAAATCCACACTTTGAGTTGACGCCGCAGGGGCGCCGGAACCCGGGTACAAGGGTATACAAATGGTACCCTGCCCTTTTCTGGGGTATACATGTATACCCATGCCCTAATGATGAAAGTTTTCAACCTTTTTTCATTCTCTGAACAATCGACTATTTGCCAAAATTCACAAGTTGAGAATGGACGAAAATGACATTCTGAAAATATCTGAATTTATTGTGAAATCTGATCAGCGCATCAATTATTTCGGTCGATTATAGTCTCATTATAGTGTCTCGTCAACACTTTCTCCTGAATATGAGCTCTTGCAAGAATCGTGTCTCTAAATCTACTGTCCCATTCAAAAAGCTTATTCTATTTTCTTAATGAAGATTGGTGTATTGAATATCAAATTAAAAAGAATTTTTTGTGAGGTGAATTGCTCATGATAGTAAATTGTGAATAATCAGGCTTTTGTCTCTTCCATTATCATGTATTTTAAAGGGTTTTATGTTGGAATTTGGAATGCTAGGGGCGCTCTAAACAGCGTTCTCGATTTGACAAATTTCAAAATTTTCTAGAGGCCGGGGGGAGAGACCCCCCTCCCCATCTTATGATACCCTGGCCCTCGCGCCGTTCCGGCGCCCCTGAGTTGACGTATAAAAAAGAAATGGAACCTAAAAAGGAAAACTGGGGCGGGTATATATAAATGGGGACCAAATAGATAAAATTCGATGAAGATGGAAAATATTATGTTCAATTATAAATACACCGCAAATGGAAAATTTGCCCTTCTCAGTTGATATTTAGAAAATATTTTTAAAACGCTTGGATTAAAATTGACACCTCATTTTTTTATGAGAGAGAGATTGGAAGGGGGAAGAGCACAGTCCACCATTCCATCAGCCAGAAGAACAAATTCATCAAATATCAATATAAGGGAGATAACTATATATTTTAGACCCGCTTTAGAACCGGGTGTTTCACAATTCTGATTAAAACCTGTAATCATTCATAAATGGAGTGCGTTATTTTCCCCTCGTACGTAACTAATGTACGAGAATTTAATGGTATCTGGCTTTTTTTTTGTAGCGTGTCTCTGATTTTCAGAATGATTTTCCCATTTGTGGTTCATATACCTTGTGTAGGCCTATCCACGTTTCTCCCGAATGAAAATAAAATTAATCTGCATGTATTCTATCGTGTCTGTGCCTCGAAAGAAAATGGGAGTGGAAATGAAATGTGATTAAATATCCCAATTCCCTGCACCAACCCGGCTAATGATGCTAGGCATACATCATGCCGTGTACAAGGAGGTATACTCCTCAGTGTTTCTTTTGGTTATACCTACATTTTATTTAATTCTCTAGAGGTCACATTTTTTTTTCCGATTTTAAAAACTGTTTAAATATTTCACCATTCCACCATATGAAGGTTGAATTCGAATTTCGGGAAAATCGAAATGAAACTGCCCGACAAAATGGCCGCTCTTTATACGCAAATTGTGTAAAAGTATGCAATTCGAAGGCTGTGGACCCTCTAGAGGTCACAATTTTTATCTGATTCTGATGAAACTTAAAACATATCTTTATATCCCAAAGATCTCAGTCCCTTTTGATATTTGCCCAGGTAGTTACGTTCTGATATACGCGATTATCAAAAGAAACCAAGATCTTAGTGTGTAATGGTGATATATTCACGTTTTTTTTTTTAATCGGATAAAAATTGTGACCTCTACAACAAGCTAAAAACATGATTTTTCATACAATCAGGGGCCATTATTCAGGAAGTTACTATCCGATATCCCCGAATATCGAAAGGAACCAAGATCTTTGGGTTATAAACATACATTTCAAATTTCATCAAAATCAGATCAAAATTGTGACCTCTAGAGGGTCCACAACTTTGATATACGAGATGTTTACACTAATTGTGTACGAGGGGCGGCCATTTTGTCCGGCAGTTTTGGTCCGATTTTCACGAAATTCGAACTCAACCAAAATTACTGGGTAACCATGATATGTTTGATCGTTTTTTTTTTAAATCGGATAATAATTCTGACATCTAGAGGGACCTCACGCTAAAAACGTGATTTTTTGTACAATCGGGGGCCATAATTCAGGAAGTTACTATCCGATATGTGCGAATATCGAAAGGAACCAAGAGCTTCGGGTTATAAATTTACATTTCAGTTTTCATCAAAATCAGAAGAAAATTGTGATCTCTAGAGGATCCACATATACTATATTTTTAAAGCTATTTGAGAACGAGGGGCGACCATTTTGTCTGTCAGTTTTAGGCCGATTTTCACGAAATTCAAACTCAACCAACCTTAGGGTGTAACGGTGATATACTAAAAGGTTTTTTTTTTTAAATCGGATAAAAATTATGACCTCTATAGGGTCCACAAGCGAAAAAAGTGATTTTTCGTATAATCAGGGGCCATAATTACGGTCCGATATGTGCGAATATCAAAAGGAACCGAGATCTTTGGGTTATAAACTTACATTTCAAGTTTCAACAAAACCGGATAAAATTGTGACCTCTATAGGGTCCACAAGCTAAAAACGCCATTTTTCATACAATTGGGGGCCATAATCCATGAAGTTACGATCCGATACATGCCAATATCCAAAGGAACCAGGATCTTAGGAAGATAAACCTATATTTCAAGTTTAGTTGAAATGAGATAAAAATTGTGACCTGTAGAGTGTCCGGACGGACAGGGGCGACGACAATGTACGTCCACATGAAATTGTGGGCATATAAAAATAAGACTTGTGTGCGATATCACCTTCAGTGGAAGCGGACGTTAAAAAGAAGAACAACAAGTCCATTGATCATTGGAAATAGTTTATACACAATGTGAAGGCCAGAGTTAATTAATCTATTTAAAAACACAGTAGTGTCACATTACTATTACTAATGAGGGCCTATGATAAACAAATACCTGGAGGAAACTCTACTCCTAGCCACCTACACACATGGGATAGAGCTTAATACTTGGGTGTGAGGACAAAACAATATTTTTTATTTTAAAATATTTAATTCATATAAATAATATAAATTATATACTGTACAATAATGAGAACATTGGGGAGGGTGGGGCGAGTGGTAGAAAGTTATCTCTGTTCCCAAATTAAAATCTAAAGAATTGAGGAGAGATGATGAAAGAATAACTCATGAGAAGAACAGAAGAGGTGTTGCCTGAAATTAGGAAATGTGTAGTATGGAAGGTGATAAAGGATGAAGAAGCAGGATGTGAGGGAACATCAAGAGGATGAGGATGCTGATCTGTTGTAAAAACAAGTAATACAATTATCTTTCTTCTTATTATATGGCTTCATCACCTGTTAAATAAAATAAAATTGTATTAGTATAAATATGTAATGTTATAGAACAAAGCTCGACAGGGCAGAGTACTGTCCTCTCAAATAGAATGTTCCCAGCACAGACTGAGAAGAAATTTCAGGATTTTTAATGTCCAGTCTCAGTCAGGGGTTGTACATGTGCGGCTGACAAGAAAATTGTTCCTAGTCATTTGAATGGGATTAAAAACCAAGGTACATGCATATTAACATTGGCATCTACATAAAAGAACCCTTGGCAGTTGGAATTTGAAGAAGAGGGGGCTGAAACACTGATATCCAAGCACAATTCTCTATAAATGTTGGGTAAAATATTTCGATGGACCAGGTGACATTTTGGTTTGGTTTTCTTAATTAAATATTAAATAATCAATCCACGGGCACATATTTAAGAATGCAGTAAAAAGTTAGATAATATTCGAAAAATATTGGGGGGGGGGGGCACGGTGGCTAAGTGGGTATGATGCTGGTTCGCTAGCCTGTAGGTCGGGGTGTTCGATCCCTGCATTGGCTGAGAAAGTTCATCCAGATTTTGCGGTGTGGTTCCCCCTTGTCAGTGATGCAGGACAGAGGGCCTGACAAGGACAGCTGTCTAGCTGTTCAGATGGGATGAAAAACTGAGGTCCCATATAGGCCGTAGTGCCACTGTCCATGCAAAATTTCCCTCATAGCACACTGTATGGTGTATGCTAGTCTTCATTAGCCCAGTTCGGAGCGGAACAGAAGGATGTTAAACCCCATTTCATTTCATTTTCGAAAAATATGCAATCAGGAGGGGCAACTTTAATAAATTAACTTTACCTTACAACCAGCAGACTCTGCCATACCACAAATTTTATCTACAAATTCTTCTGTTTGTTCAGTTTTTAGTTCTAACATAAATCTGGCTGTTTCTAGTATTAATGTACATTGATCAGCTAATATACTGGTTATATCAGGTTTCAAATGATGAACCATACTGAAATTAAAGGGAAATTAAAATTGGAAAATATAATCTGTGTGACATCACAATATAAGAGAGTACAAGAGTTGGGAGATAAAGATGTTTAATGTGCACTCAGTAGTATAGTCCAGTCAGGAATAATGATATATTTTCGATCAATAATTCATTTGTGTGCTGTGGTATTTATAAGTCAGAGAAAACCAGTGAAAACCTATTAACTTAGCCAGGTCCACTCAAAGCAAACAAGGTCATTTTGGGACTAACATATGGTAAATTTTATGTCAATAATTTGCTTGTGCATATGAGTTCTTTAGCAGTGGGAGGAAACCGGAGGACCTTGAGAAAACCCACAAGGTTAGGCAGGTGACCCTACTCCTTGAAAAGTACAAGTGTGGGCATTTAATTGATTTTATGACAGAACTTATCATCTAAAGTGCATGTGTGAGACCAATTAGCGACCCGTTCTAACCCCCTTTCTAGAGAGAGAGAGAGAAATGAGGTTTAACGTCCACTCGACACAAACTAGGTCATTTCGGGACTAACATATGGTTTATTTTTATTTCAATAATTCGCTTGCGCGTAGGGGTCTTTAGCAGCGGGAGGAAACCGGAGGACCCGGAGAAAACCCACAAGGCTGGACAGGCGACCCTACTCCTTGCCACGTACAACCGGGGATTCGAAACCACGCCCGTTGACTCAATGACAGGCTTTATGATACAATGCACAAGTGCTAACCATTCGGCCATCCCCCCCCCCTTTCTAACTCACCTGTTAGAGAAGAACACTAGATGGAATAATTTATTATATTTAGATTTTTTCTTGATATCTTCTATAGAATTTAACGGTAAAAATGTTATCTTCACATTCTCTACTGGTATAGGATCTGAAATACAAATAATCAAACTAGTGAGTAATTACACTGTACATGTCTGATCTTTGGAGCAGAAACTGCAATTAGTGCTACTCATCTTGTTGTTCTTCTTGTTCTTGGGGTCGAAGATTTTCAAAAAATGCCTAAGGCTCTGTCAATTCATGTACGATCGAGCAAAACTTACACACATGTTCCTTGTACAATTGCACATCCACTGACAGGCTTCCAAATTTTATATAATTTCAGAATTCCACGAACGTGTCGATGGTATCAAGCTCTGTTTCTGATCCATAGTATGATCGTAGTTGTTGATTTGAGGTGTTTTCGCAAATTTACATTTTTAATTTTTCTAATGCAATTTGGGAAAAATACAGTATCATATTTCAGATCCATGTGTTTTATTTGAGTAATCATGCAGCTAATAACACCATAAACGGGAGAGCTACAAAAAATGCATTTAATGTTTTAAATAAATTATCTAATTCCCACTATTTAATTAGTACAATTAATTCTTTTATAAGACATATAATACAACACTTTTTATTAGCCAACTACAACTAACCATATTGATTATCTGCTGGCCTTGGTTTATCACCATTGGTTACTGATGATGTCACTTCCTCTTCTATTTCCTCCTCATCTTCTTCTGTTATTTCTGATTAATAAAATTAAAATTAACTAAGTTTATTTTTGTTTGTAAGTGTAAATCATCAATTGTAAACTAATACTGTCTGTAGAACCTGATTATAAAATATAGATCTAAATTTCCTTTTGTTTTGTATAATTTCCAAGGCCTTTCAACCATAATGGATCCGACTGAATGACGAAAACTAGTTATTTATATTAAACTTTTGTTTTGTACAACTTTGTCTACGACTCTTTTTGTGTCTTCCATAATTCAATGTACAGCTTGCGTAAATCTTGATTCAACACATCATGTCATTTACTAATTTACAGTCATTTCGAGACTAACATATGGAACAATTTGATTTCAATAATTCGCTTGAACGTAGGGGTCTTAACAGCAGTGGGAGGAAACAGAGGACCCTGTGATAACCACTGAGGTTAGGCTGGCGACCTACTCCTTGTCACATATGCACAACTGCAGGATCGAAACCAAGCTACTTGACTCATTGACAGACCTTATGATCTAAAGCGCATGTTAGATCATTCCGCTCCCCTCCAGAACACAGATATCCCCACTGATAAATTTAATCAGAAATTTGAACTATAAACAACCAAATACAATAGGATCTGTATTTTAGTCAGATTGTTGTACCGTTTGTTCCATCTTTGTTTCTGTCTTCAGTTCTCCTTCACTATCTACTATTAGATATTATAATGTCATAGTATTCTAGTTATATTACCTTGTAATTTGGGTGCTTCAGGTTTTGATTCTGTTGTTGGTAAAATATATTTCTCTTTATGAACTAATTCGTAAAATATTGATGTAACATTAAACTCTGATACATTCTCTGATGTCTGAAGAATAAGAGAAAAAAAAAAAACATAATTTGGTGAACATTGTATTATTCAAATGCTCTAATATCAACTTTTAGATAAATATACTTGTCCATGAAATTATGGCATTAATTATAGTGTTTTAATCTTTCATCTTTTCATATAAAAATATGAAAGTAAGCAAACAATACTTTGCCCATTATGATAAAAAATATCAATATTAAGTTGAAAATATCTTTCTATTGTGAATTTAATTCATGTAATTGCTCCATTATTATACTATTGGAACCATGTTCCCACATACTTTGGAAGTTAACAATCAATTATTATTACTATTTTTTGTATTTTTTGGGGGGTCAATATTTAGATGATGGGAAACAAATCTATATGCCACCCACAACTCTATTAAAGATGCATTATGTATGATTTGGATAAAGAGCTGGTCATTCTTGTTATAATAGTTCAAAAATAGATAATGAAAAATTAATATGTTTGAAGTTTTGAAAAAAAGTAGATTATTTATTATCGTAGCAACAGTACTTGACAATCGAGACTAAGTCTCAATTGTTTTTTTTATCGTTAAACTCTTAAAGGGGCATTATGGGAGATTAGATAAAGTGTTGACAGTTCACGCTATAATAGTTAAAAAATAGATAACGTAAATAGAATATGGTGAAAATTTCAGTCAAATTGCTCCACTCTGAACCCATATATTAGCTTTTGAATTTTATGCCAGTCGGTACAATAAAAAACAAAGTCTCTATTATCCATTTTTACGTTGAATTATTTTTTCAAAAAATGTATTCCAATCCCGGTCTAGATTAATTTATGAATGTCTAATTAATAATTTAGAAAACATTTCAGGCCTAAAGAAAGACCTGCAATAGGCAGATTTAGCTCTTGCGTAATGTATGTTTAAATGGCCGTGGTGTTATCTACATAGAATCAGAGCCATCTGATGGCAAAGAGAGTTGATTATGGGCTTGTCATGTTAATAAATGTTTAAATAATAAATTATATAACATAAGAAGCCACTAAAAAAGACCTGCAATGGGGGGGAGGGATTTAGCTCTCAAAGCAGTGGTCCTCAACCTTTTTTTGCCAACGGCACACCTTGGAACACATGAAAAAATAGCGGCACACCTGGCTAAATATATATGAAAAATATTTGAATTTTGCAAAATATGAATATGGTAAGTCCGACGGCATACAACCGTAGACAGAGATTAGTCATAGACACACAGAATGACTCAAACTAAATAAAGAAAAACACAGCTATGAACCTATCAGTAGACACCAGTGAATACTCAATTGGGATCACATGGTTTTTCAATTTCACGGCAGACTTAGGAGGATATCATGGCACACCTGGCTCAAAGTAATATATAAATACCTTTGTATATAATTCATTTGTTTTCTTAAAGAAGGATTTTTCATCAGATTCAATACCAAAAGTTATAAACGGACCGACGATCATGTCTCCCCAGTAGCCTCTTCTAGCATGGAGCTCACCTTCCTGCTTAAATATCATACCAGATGCTAGTGTTTTATTAGGAATATCGTATGTTCCCTCTCTGATAGTAAAGGCTATACCAGACTCTCTCCAGTTACTATATTCTGTTTTATGTATAATATCTGCCTGAAATATAAAAACATTGACTGTTATAGTTCAGTTAAACTATGTTGTCTCAAACACCTGGAGGGTCACTGTGGCTAAGTGGATAAGATGCTGGCTCGCTAGCCTGGAGGTTGGGTGTTCCATCCCTGCAGTGGTCGAGAAAGTCCATCCAGATTTTCCAGCGTGATTCCCACTTGTCAGTGATGCAGGACTGAGGGCCTGACAAGGACAGCTGTCTAGTCGTTCGGATTGACGAAAAACTGAGGTCCCGTGTACACATTGGCGTGCACGTAAAAGATCCCTTGACAGTTAGAATTCGAGATAAGAGTAGGCCGTTGTGCGGCTGTCCAGACAAAATTTCCCTCACAGCACACTGTATGGCGTATGTCCATCTTCATTATCCCAGTTCGGAGCAGAAGAGTAGGACGTTAAACCCCATTTCATTTTATTTCATTTCTCAAAGACCTGGTTTATGTCAAAGTCCAGTAGCAGTCTTGTTACAAGCTTGGCTCAGTTCATTGCCACTGAAACTCAAGAGACACCACATGTGTTATATGGAACTATTTCTTATGGTACCAGCAAAGAGTTAATGTACCCTATTGTTTTGTTTATTTATACTTGCTTAATTCAAGGGAGTAGATCTTGACAACAAATTTTGTTACAGACAAATCAAACTACCTCATGTCAACATTTTAAAGTGACGAGTTTACAAAAATCAAAAACAATTCCAAACACCAAAATGGATTTATTGCTACTTTAGAAAGAAGCACAAGTGTTTGACCAACGAATGAAACATGTGATTACTTACCCCAGCTTCCGCTAATTTCATGTGATAATCCCAATCGTAGACATTTTTCTTAGAATCGTACCTGACGCCCAGTCTATTCCTTTCACGTAAATCCCTAAAATACAGGAATTGAATTGTAACATCAACATATTAATTATGGTCATAAAATGGAATTTATCATCATATCATTAGTGCCTTATTTGGAGGTCGTCAGAGGTTGATAAAATTTTTGATTTGACGTGATTTGTGCTTACAGTTGCATTAGGAGTGATCAAATTAGTTCGTATTCAAAATTTGAAACAAATCTGCCAAAACGTCATTGAAATATATACATTTTAACTTGCAATTTCGAAATCGTACTAATTTTCTAGTGTTTTTTTTTATTTTCAAATTGTAGACTTTGTTCTCAGCTTATAACTTTTTCCTTTACACCTGACTAGTGTAATACACAGTGCAAACCCTCAGTTAAAATACTTACCAGCTCTTAGCGACATCAAATAAAGATTTATCAGGATTTCTCCAAAATTTAAATATTCCTTCCAAAAAATCTCTTTCTTTAAACTGAAAAAAATAAAAAAAGTTCAAATTCGGATAAACTATTTGAGATGTATCCTCCACACAGATCAACTTTTCTCTGACAAATTATCATTGGCCATTATATGTTTCACTGATCAATCACATGCTATGTTATTAAAATATGTGTATATTTCTTACTTTAAGTTGAGACAAGTCGACTATGTTCATTCTTTTTTCTAGATAATCAAAATCAGTCACCATTCTGAAACAAATAAAATCTATTATTGGAAAACTTTAATCATATAAGTAGTTTTACTAGTTACACACCCTACATCATATCTTGTGTGTTCATGTAGTAAAGAAAGAGAGAAATGTACAGATGGATGTATATTTCTGTATTAGTCCTAATGTTATCGATAGGGCAAATATGGGATATTTCTGAACAGATCAAACATTCCCCCATCTTCTTTAGCATGGTTGGTGCCATCCTTGGTATCCCCAATGGTGTCATTCCGTTCTATTCCACTAACCCATGTGTCCATCCTTTGGGTATTCATGATTTCAAATTATCTGCCCTTGACGATTTCATTGCCCTGGTAGGTTGATTTTACATACCAGTCTTAGCGTCATGGTTTATGTTCACCACCATACAGCAGCTTGTACGCTCAATTATGATAGAAAGTTTGCAGGAAATTTAATATCAAAGAAGTGACAAAGTTTACAACGATTGGCGATCTTAGTAGCAAAAAAATGAGAGTCACTTCCCTTTGCACATTCCCTTCCTATTTATGGAATTTTTTGATTGGTAGATAAAAATAGCATAATTATCAAGGCCGGAAAATTTGACTACATGTCTCTCCCGTGAATGGACCCAGGGGTTAGTGGAGTAGAATAGAATGATACCACTAAAGATACCAAGGAAGGGTTGCAGCAGAAAAGTATGACCATAAACCCCATTTCATTTCATTTCTTCAAAGTTCTAGGTATCCATAAATAAATATAGAATACTGATGTAGAGAACAAAAATGAAAAATTTAAGTTTTATCAAAATGTATTTAAATCCATCCCCCTCCCTCCCCCAGTATTTAATTCAAATAAAACAAATACACAAAATTAGGTGTCTAAATTATCTACAAAATAACTGTGCCAATTTCTTTACTTACTTGATAAGTTCAGTGGACATTTTTTGAACATATTCACAAGATTGCTGTCGAATATATGTATTTCCATATACTTCCAAAAACAGTTCTGTCTTTTCTGCAAAAGAAATGTAAATAGATATATTTTCGATTCCAAAATTCATTTTATTGTATGTAGCAATGCAACAGAAAATAATAACTGAAACTTTTAGGTAAACTTCATGCCAATAAGAAGTGCAGTCAGAAGGAAACGTTACAATCTGATGCATGACACTCATCACCAGAACTTCAAAAACTGCTTACCTTGTAAACCCATTCTATTCTGTGGTTCAAGAGCTATATTAAGTAACAACATATCACGAGCATATACCTCTAATGCTGATTCAATAACATAAAACTACAAAAAAAGAAACCAGATTCAATTATAGATTGATGAGGGGGACCAAAGAGGACTGCTTCCATTTGGTTTAACAAAAATGTAAAAGGCATGGGCTATTATAAGACAATGAATTATACTATTTGCAACAGCAGAATGAATGAATGAATGAAATGGCAGTTTTACGGCACATCAGCTCCAACTGGGCTATATTGTGCCATCAGTAGAAATGTGCCATTGATCATATTATCAGTTTGGGGATCAGAATGATTGAACTATTTAATTAACCCCTGGGAAAATAATGAACTAAATAGTTACATTGTATTGCAAAAAGTAAATTTCCATATATGAATGCTGTGACTCAAACATGCATGCAAATCTTACGATAAAAGCCTTTATGAAATTTGTATATTGACTAACGGCATAAGGCATGTTATAGCAAGCGTTAACTAGTCTGTATTGTTAATCAGAATTTTTAAAATATGTATTCACAAATAAAATATTTACATGTAATTTACGTTTGGGATGTCTCCATGTAGATGCTATTGTCTTTAATAGATGACGTAAATCTCCAGCACCAACTACTAGAATATTCAATTCATCTAAAACACAAAACAAAATTTACTGATGAGAAATGGAACAAATACCCAATTGTCACTCATTATAATCATTTCATGAAAATAAAGTTCAAGGAGCTATTGATCAACCTGATGTGTTATGTCATTTAAAGATGTGACACATTTTATGACGATTAAATTTGCGCTTCAAAAGATTACATGGAAGTCGGTTTAATTTGTTTGCTACTTTTAGTGACATAAAACTATTGAACCCAAGCAGTTATATCACAACATGGGCTAAACCTGATAATTAGTGCTATAGATAATTTGAAATAAAGACCAAGTTTCATGTTATAAAACAAATCCATAGCATACATAAAGTGTCATCAAACTGAAATTTGTCATTTACATATATGTACACCAGAGTTAATTCTTATTAAAATATTCCACCCATCTACTGGTTATGGGTGATTATGGAGATTAAGAAAACGGTATATTATTATGGAAAATAAACATTACCAGGACAAGCATCTTGTGATATCTTCAGCTTTTCCAACTGGTCTGATATTCCTATAAAAGGAAATAATTGTAGGAATAACAAATGTTTAACATTAATGTATTCAGACTAGAAATAACTTGCATACTGACTACTGATATATTTTAGCTAATCTAGGGACTGACAGAACTGTGACAATATTTGATTGCAATTTTGTTCCCCCCAATATTTCAGGTTCACAATCTTCTTGTGCATCCCCAGACTCTTTAATCTAATACAATATTAATAATCTTATAGTTATACAATACGATACATTACATATCATATAGGGCATAAGGGGCCTACACTAAAATATGACAAACACTCGTTGTTTATCAAATTTTATTAACTTTTACTGCCAATCTCAAGAAACACACATTTAAAGTAGGTTACTGATACAACTATGATCCGAAATTCATTATTAATTAATGGTGTATGCCGCTATGATGTGTGTGGTGTGCTATTCGCCGAAATCCGCACGGGCAGTCAAGACGACAAGTGTGCTATATGTTTTTCTTTTTATCGAAAAGAAAGGGATATATAATTCAAACCTTTCTGTTGTAAATCTAAAGCAGGGCTAAATCCCCACCATGTTATGCTACCGAATCCGTCCGTCATTTTTCTTCCTTCCTCGTCAAACGCAAAAGAAACTTTACACGTTATGTCACGTTAATTTTTGTCTCCAACCGACTCCATGTTGTAAACAATATAGGCTCGCAGCAAATATTTCACAGTGATATAATCGGTAAAAATAGCTTCTTCTATACAAAGATCATCAAAGTGATCAGTGTTGAATATAAAGTTTGCTCATTGACATGAAATATTTTACTTTACTTCTGCTTTGAAGATAAAACTTATTTTCTTGTTATTTACTGCTCTACTGGACAACATGGCTGCGCCCATAAAATAATTTTTTGAAATTGTCACTTTCTAGAATTTACGATTTTATTTTAGACAAAAGATTTGTTATATCGACTAATTATGTCTGCCAAACCACTTAAAGTGTAAGAACCTAATTATAGTCAATTTATCTAGTAAATAATTTTTATCTAGAAAGAAAGTTGAAATAACACAAGTAAATAAAAATAAATAAATCAGGCAGTGCCAGCCCATAGAAATGATTCCACTACTCTGCGGATGTCTTCCGTCTTACTCCAGCCACAGTAGTGGATCGTTCTAAGCAGGTTTTTTAGTCAGATGACTCAAACATGCTACTGGCCTATAGCTCCCTTAATTTCCACATAAACTGATCCCAAACTGTAGGCTACTGCATGTTTTATAGTTATAGCTTATAATTAACATATATATGATATAATAAGCCAATTCCCATTGAAATAAAGATGAAGCCTTACCGCATAATTATATGAATTAATGAAACCCAACTGCTACGTGAAAATTGTCTCCTATCCAACTTAAAATATCCTCCCAGCCAGAAATAGCATGCACACTCCGCCTCGTGTGATCATACGTCACATTTCCATATGTGGCATTCATAGTAAAAAAGCGTAGTAACACTGCCTTATAAGGGAAGCGATGGGCGGGATATCATTTTCTATCTACAAATTTCTCAATTTTATTAGCTTGGCTTGTGGTGATGTGGAAGGAAGATTTACCCAGATTTTTAACAGAGTCTCAGCAATTCAGAAAAAAAGTGGTCCTTTTGATGTAAGATTGAATTTATTAATGCTTGGATTATCTCTTTGTCTGTGATTAACAACTTTCTGTATCAAGATAATATTGTTCGGATGTGCTGATGTATTCAACATTAACATAAATTCACTCCCACTTTTTCTCATTGCAAGCATAAGCAAGTATGTTAAACTGATATCTGTAGTATTAAATTCTTATTGAATATATACATGTACATGTAAAAATGGCTTGTTTTGTATCCAGTTCTTTATACCATTAAATTGTACAACATTTTCATAATAAATACTGTTTAAACCAAATATATAAATATTGCTATTACAAAGACAGCCATTACTTAGATATAGTAAAGCTTCACAACTTCACATACTAATATGAAACAGTCGTTGCCAAACTTGAAATTTATTAAATATTTAAGGATTTCTTTCCTTTTTTTTTTCTTTTTTTTGTGTTTATTTATCCACATTTTTTATTGTCTGTTATATAATTCTGTTGACCATTATTTTTACAGCTTTTACTTTGTGTGGGTGATTTTTTTGGAAATAATGAAACAGAATGGCAGGATTACAAATCTGGAAAATTAAAAGGTAATTAATATTGAAGAGATCCTTTAAGATATTTAACACCTGGTTCCCACATGTAGGGATCCCGGGGGTTGGATGACTGAATGGTTAGCATGTGCGTACTGTATTGAGTTAACTGGCGTGGCTTCGATTCCCCAGGTATACATGACAAGGAGTAGGGTCGCCTGTCCAACCTCATGGGTTTCTCCGGGTCCTCCGGTTTCTTTCTCTATATGGATCCTTGATTTTTGAAGTCTGACCCTAACTTCATATAAAGAAAGTGTGTCTGGTCATGCAGATGAGATGAGAAAAAAAAACTGAGGTATACATTGTTCACTTAAAATAAACCTTGAAAGTAGTAGATCAAAAGGAATAGATTGAAACACCCTGCATTGTGAACATAGAAATAAGATTTACTATACAGGTATTTTTGTCTCCAAATTACCTAAGTAGCCTATTGTGTTGACAAGACACCAAATCCCATTCATGGTGATGACAGGATATCAAGCAAGTGTCTTAATAATAAGAGTAGTTTAGATCATTTGCTTCAAACTGAATTAACTCTCTGTTTTTGTCAAAATTAGATACATTCTGCAGTCTGCACCAAGATAACAATATACTTCATATTTTGAATGGAGCTAATTGTAGACAGACAGCCTAAGTTTAGTGTGAATTAGATTAAATTAAAGACTATTATTTGATATTTCAGTTCCCATAGCAACACTGATTCTTGGTGCTACAAATGACAGGCAGGCATCATATTATACAGAAGATGGACAGGAGATGTGTGAAAATGTCACATACTTAGGTAATAGAAAATATTTTGTTTACCAACAACATGATTCTAGATATGAAAAACAAGGTTCCATTTGCTACTGGTCTCATCCGTGAGAGCGATAAGAGTCCTGTAACAAGTTCATGTAGCATGAAATTTGTGATGACATTCTTGTTGAATTTTGAAAAATTTGGGGAGTAATATTGGAATGGTTTCCGGAGCCTATCTAATATATTTTTTCAGATATTCTTGTCCTGTAACAAGTTCATCTAGCTTTTAATTGTTGTGACATTTGGCTGAAAACAATTGGAAACAATTTTGACTTAGATTTTTATATATACATATATGTTTATATTTATGACAAAGTAAACAACAATTCTACATTATTAGTATGGATAACAGTGGACATACACTTACTATTCAAATGCCTATAGCAAATAAAATTGGTGGGGTTTTTTTATATGTATTTTAAGGTAAAAAAGGAACATACACAGAGAGTTCTGGACTTCAGATAGCGTATCTAAGTGGATTGGAAAGTAGTTCTGAAGAGGGAGATAACTCTCATTTTGGTAGAAAAGATACAACAGGTTTGACGTTGCCAGTCATAGCAGACACCAAATATAAAGGAGTTGATATATTGATAACATCACAGTGGCCTAAAAATGTTCAAAAATATGCTTCTGCAATTGTAAGTTGTTTTTTTAAAAGTTCTAGTTACCTGATTTGTTGTGTTTTTGACATTAAACTAAAATGGAACAATCCAGGATTAAATAGGAATTTCTAAAAAATAGGCTTTATTCCATATTCTTTAGACCTGCGACTAGAACGTTCCGGGTTACAATTCTGGCATGTATTTTTATAGTCCAGTATTCACTTGTGCCAGGTACAATCTCTGAAGAGTGTATTGAGTCATTCAAATGGAATCACAAACTGCAGTGCCATGTGGTATTGTAGGCATAAAACCCACTGTTCTGGTCCTATAAAACCATAGATATATTTAATGAAATAGTACTACCGGTATACACATATACACATTATACCCAATTCCTTTTCTTTTTTATTTTACTTATCAGATATCTGTGACAGTGCATAAATACTATTTGTACAAAATATATTCAAAAGAGACTCATTTATAGGGAAAATATTATATATTATGCATATCAAAATACATTTCTATGATCAGGAAGGGATTGAAGATGGGGATCAACTGGGGTCAGAAGCAGTAGCAGAAGTAGCCAGAATATTACAACCTCGCTATCATTTTGCTGGGTTATCAGGCATCTTCTATGAACGACAACCATATAGGTAAGATACAATTCAATTTAATTACTAAGGGAGACATCAAGTGTTTTAAAGGTAAATATTATATTGATTGTTGAGTGGCCGGATGATTTAATGTGTACGCTTAAGATCATAAGGTTTGTCAATTAAATAACTAAGGGAGACATCAAGTGTTTTAAAGGTAAATATTATATTGATTGTTGAGTGGCCGGATGATTTAATGTGTACGCTTAAGATCATAAGGTTTGTCAATTAAATAACTAAGGGAGACATCAAGTGTTTTAAAGGTAAATATTATATAGATTGTTGGCTGGCCGGATGATTTAATGTGCACGCTTAAGATCATAAGGTTTGTCATGAAGTCCAGTGACATGGTTTCGATTCCCAGCTTGTACGCGACAGGGAGTAGGGTAGTCTGTCCAATCTCTTGCATTTTCTCCGAGTCCCTGAGTTTTCCGCCACTCTTAAAGATCCCTACACAATTTTATTGAAATAAATTTGAAACATATGTTAGTCCTGAAATGAACTAATACATGTTTTATGTCTACATATATTTTTTCCAATGTTTGATAAGTTTAAAGTGATATAAGAGTTCTTTCTGTCAAGAATACAAGACTACGCATGTAAAATTGTTATTATTTTCTCCAGTGTCTTTAAAACATCATTTATGTTTGAGTTACTCTTGTGTGGAACCGAACTCGACATTTTGAAATTGCTAATGTAATTCTGTTATTTTTTTTCTACCAGAAATCATAAAGTAATAGCTGAAAGTTCACGGCATGCAACACGTTTTATTGGGTTAGCTAAAGTTGGAAACAAAGAGAAGAAAAAGGTGAGTTTTTCTAGAACATATTATCCATGCTAAAACAAATAAGTAGTGTTATAGTGAGAAATGGGGTTAAGCATAAGGTAACTGTGTTTGGGGATGTTGGGAATGTCTAGTTGTTTAACGTGTGTACATGAAAGCACAAGTGCCATGGTTTCTATTCTCCAATTGTACGTGACAAGGAGTAGGATCGCCTGTGTGTTTTCCCCCGGACCTCTGGTATTCTCCAACTGCTAAAGACCCCAAAGCACAATCAAATTATTGAAATACAATTGAACCATATGTTAGTCACAAAGTGACCTAGTTTGTGTCGTTAAACCCAATTCCTCTCTCACGCAAACTGTGCTTGTTTTGGGACTAACATACACTACATTTTATTTAAATACTATAATTCACTTTCACTCAGTGAAGCCAGGAACACCAACAATCTTCTCCAACCTCGTGGGTTTTCTCCGGGTCCTCCTGTTTCCTCCCACCGCTAAAGACCCCTACGCGCAAGCGAATTATTGAAATAAAATTAAACCATATGTTAGTCCCGAAATGACCTAATTTGTGTCGAGTGGACGTTAAACCCCATTTATCTCTCTCTCTCCAACAATCTTCACAAAAATCATTAATGGGCCTCTTTTTAATCTGATTGAATCCAAGCTGTGAGATTGTCTGCCATTGATATTTTGTTTTATTAGTTAATATTCAATATAACAAACAGATTTGTTAGGGATAGGACAAAATCTTTGCAAACATCATGATATTAAATTTTTGTCACAAATGACAGAATGACAAAAAACTAATGAATATCCAAAATTATACATGTAAATATCTTTTCAGTTTCTCTACGCTTTTAATGTTGTGCCACTGAATAAAATGGAATCTGCTGAATTAAATAAACCTCCTCAAGATTCGACAGAATGTCCCTTTCCTTTGTCAAGATTTTGGTCCTCAAATCAGGTAAAAACTTTTAGAATTTAAATAGACATATTGATATATGCATTGTTCATATCTTCTAGGGTTATTGCAATTGCTCTCATTGTGGAATCTCGTAAATGCCATAGAAGTAAAAGCCATTATCTGATCTACTTAAAATTTGTTTGCTTTTGTTTAGAATTACCCAAATTTTTGATAATTACCTCCAGGAATATTGTTGTTAACTATTTTTTTATATCTAGATAGCCGATACAGAAACCCAATTTTTCTACAACATGTCTGGTAAAAACAAACAAGGAAACAAGCACAAGTCAGATTTTAAGGATGGTGGTGATCGAAAAAAACAGAAAAAACAACGTGAGTTTTCTGCTTGAAGCTTTAATTCTGGGAATCTATTGTGAATGTCTTATGCCCCAGTAAATGTTTCTTACTTCTCTTAGATGTCGGGGGGTTGGATGGCCGAGTGGTTAGCACATGTGTGCTGTATCATAAAGCCTGTCATTGAGTCAACTGGCGTGGTTTCGAATCCCCGGTTGTACGTGACAAGGAGTAGGGTCGCCTGTCCAACCTCGTTGGTTTTCTCCGGGTCCTCCGGTTTCCCCCCACCGCTAAAGACCCCTACGCGCAAGCGAATTATTGAAATAAAACGTTAAACCCCATTTCTCTCTCTCTCTCTCTTAGATGTCAGTATTTTGTAACATCCATAATATTACAGATAGATAGACTTGACTATTATGACAAAGTTACTTTAAGGATTAATAAACAAACTGCATTTGTATGTAACTGTGTGCAGCCCTAGTATTACACTATCCAACACTGATACAGGTCATTTCAAAAGCTGGGCTTTACCGGAGGGGGGGGGGGGGGCAAAAGAAGGGTTTCAATCTGCCATTTGGATGGGGTATACAATGGTTATGCAGCAACCTTTTGGAGAAAAAAGGTGTACATGACCTGGCTTTACAAGCATTAAAAATTCTTGGGTTTTTTTTCAGCTCAAGCAACAGGTCCTTGTTGGTTTTGTTTAGGAAGTCCAGAAGTAGAGAAACATCTAGTTGTTAGTGTAGGAACAGAGGTATGATAACATATAGTATAATATAAGTATAGATTATCAAGCATTATACATTGTTTAAGGGGTAAGGGTTGATAACTAGAATGTCAATGATTTATTAAATCCACGGAGGGTGGAAAGGAGTCTGTACGGTTCTCGTCATAGAGTATGAGTCATGAGTGCAAAGTGCGTGTTTAGTCATTTGGATTGAATAAAAGAACAAAGTATTCAAAAGGCAAAAATATACCAAGGCAGTTTGAATGGGGTTACTTCAATGGTAATGTTTTTTGCAGTTTGTCATGCATATCGGCTAAGAAGGAACATAAACTGAATCTTCCATACTTTCATATGTACTGGGTTTCAATCTTTCAGAATTTTAACTGTGGTTCTAAATTGTTATGAGTTGTACCTGAAAAACCGGTAAAATGTTGATATTAATTCTCATTCCATTATGTACGGTATTCATGAATTCCAAACATAAAGATTGATGACTGTTTACAGGGTTGGTAAATAGAGACCTAAGGTGTATTTATTATTACATGTATTTATGATATCTGTTATTTATTTTCTGTTATTACTTGTATAATTCCAGTGTTATGTGGCATTAGCAAAGGGTGGTCTGGTACCAGAACATGTTTTAATCTTACCAATTGGTCATCATCAATCAACTGTTTCTTCACCACAAGATGTACGAGATGAAATAGATCAGTATCCTTTTATACTCCGTCTTTAGTTACAATATAATAAACAGACAGGGTTGCCATTTTATTGTCCTTAATACATTAAGTGATATCGCAAAAAAATTAATTGAATAAGCAAAACTGTAGTTTTGTTGAGTCCTATGTTCATTTCAGAATATATTTGGTAGAGTGTTGACAAAGCTATTTACTGCAATTCCATTCCTTAATATCTATTAGATACAAATCTTGTTTAAAGAAATGTTTTAAAGATCAAGGGAAAGGTGTTGTTTTCTTTGAAAGGAATTTTAGAACACAGCATTTACAAATACAGGTAGCAGAAAGTATTTTTTTATTATTATTTTTAGCTAGTGCAAGTAAACCAAATGTATGCATTTGGAAAACTGAACAATTAAACTCTTCTCAAGTACTGAATAGTATTGTTACCATTTTACTATAAATATTTTTGTAAACATTGTAATATGGAAGACAATATGGAAAATTGACAAAGAAGCTTTATTCTTTATTTATATTCCCAGTTTAAAATTATAAGATGGCATTCTTGAAGAGTGTGTAATTGGAGTGATTTATTTCAAATTGAACCTCTGCTAATTTTGCTTATAACTAAATTTGAAATCACTGTATGACACCAAACTTCCAAGATGAAAAACATCACTTGAATGCAATCAAATGGTGGATTCTTAGCATACACTTATTAAATGTTCATTAAATTAATATATTGTATTTTAATGTTAGTTTGTAATGATCCGTTTTTATATTTCTCACAGGTTGTACCAATAGGGGGCAGTGCTATTCAGGAAGTCAAAGATACCTTCATGGAATGTGCTGAAAGTGAAAGCATTTCACTTGATGAGATTCCAAAACATTCAGATTTAAAACAAATTATTCCTGTTGGTGTTCCATATTTCTATGCTGAACTACCTCTAGGAGATAAGCTTCTGCATCGAATCTCAAAGAATTTCCCATTACAGTTTGGGAGGTAAGGTTTAAATTATCTTCTCCTTGATGCATCAAGGGAGAGAATAAAATGTGTCAAGGGAGGTAATACATCATTATCAGCCGATGAAAATATTGAATGGGGTTGACCATCTCTTAGGAATCTATAGTCTGTGATTTCCTGAACATGTCTCTTCACCTCTTGATCCTTTCACCCCAAAATCATGAATATTAATCAAAACCGGCCAGAAATTCTAAACTCAAACATCTTTCAAACTGCAATGTAAACAGGGGGAAAAGAGAGAATTACTATAGTCAAACTACATTCATGCATCATGAAATCAGAGGAAGTAATTAGTGGTCTTAATCCATCATAACTTTTTGTGATAAAACATTTTGAGGATATGCTTAACATGATCTGCCCAAATTTTTAATTTAAAATCAGATTTAACCATTTTGTTTAATAAAGATCATTGTTGAAAGAGCTAGCCAAGACTTGGATTGTATTTTTTATTACTCTATAATAATTGTTATTTTTGTGCTGAAATAGTAACAATTGACATATTCTTGTCCTATTCAATTGCATATTTTTAATCTTACAAATGAATAAAGAATTTGCTAATTATGGAAAAAATATTACATTATTTTGTGTATAGTAAACGATAACAAAATTATTTTCAGGGAAGTGTTATGTGAATCTGGTGTATTGAACATGCCGGAACGGGCCGATTGGAAGAACTGTAAAATCAGCAAAGAAGATGAGACTACAATGACAGCAGACTTTAAAGCTATGTTCAAACCATATGACTTTAGTTTATTATGATAGTTTATCTTGTCGATGTTAAAATGGAAATAGTGGATAAAAAGCTGAGGGTATGAATTATCAGTTTCAAGAATGATTTGATACTATGGAATGAAGACAACCATCAAAAGCTTATTTTCAAATGAAACGAAAGTAGAGTGAAAATATTCATACCCCATATTGCAAACCAGTCCTAGATCTCTGGTTGGCTAATCTAAGAAAAGCAATTGTCATGTATCTTACTTGACTAATAAGTTTGTGCTAGAGACTATTGTGTCCAGTTGATCATCTAATTAAACTTTTTATCATACAAATCATACTTTCTAAAAAAAAAAATTATCATAAGTCATTCATGTCTCATTTATTTTCAATTTTAAAAGGAAACATTGACAGGTCACGTCAATAAGTGACATGGAAAATCCCACAGAATATCTGATTTCTGCTTCCTCTGTTCAGTCTATTTATTGAAAAAAAGACAAACTGGTCAATTTAGTTCAGTACCGTTATATATCTAGTATTTCTAAAGACTGAAAACCAGTTTAATGTTTTATTTGTACTGTTCATTGGATTCTCTGCATCATTTTTACATACATGTAATTTTTGCTTTTATCAACAGAGCAAGTATTTCAAAATCAAATTTGTAATATGGTACAATGTTATTTTATTTTTTAATTCCAGTCGAGAAAATTTCTGAGTACATTTTAACTCACACTATTTTAATAAAAGATGTTATATTTTTATGAAAACTCAATTTGTATATAAAAAAATACAAACGGAATTGATTTTTTACTTATTATTACCATAGTTATTTATATGTTGTACAATAGTCAAGAGCTAGAGAAGTGGGGTTTAACATCCACTTGACAATAACTAGGTCATTTTGGGACTAACATAATGGTTCAAGTTTATTTCAATACCTAGCTTGCGCTTAGGGGTTCTTTAGCTGTGAGAGGAAACTGGAGGACCCGGAGAAAACCCATGAGGTTGTACAGGCGACCCAACTTATGGTCACTTACAAGCAGGGAAATCAAAACTACACCACTTGACTCAAGACAGACCATATAACGAGCACACGCTAACCCATTTAGCCTCCCTCCCTTACAATGACAAGAACTAAGCTGAAAATTGAAAGTAGCAGGTACATTTTTGACATGCTACTTTGTTTATGAATTTCCAAATATTGGTTGGTTTAATATAGACAATCCCATTAAAATAGAATGTCACAGTTTGACTACATACCTAGTTTAGCCCTGTTCATTACATATGGGGCACGAGTGGTTCTCATTTTCATACTAATAACAAATGAGCATTTATTGTCCTCTTGGCATATAAAATGGGGGCAGGGGAAACAGCCATCATCGTCCATCCCCTTTTGTTTCCAAAGCAAAATTTAAAAAATATTAAGTATATTGGCACAACACATTTTACTCTCATTAGTCCCATCCTGCTTTGTTTCCATGCATCAAATCAGACTTAGTCTAATCTCTATTGTCAGTCCTTTAATGACAGTCTCTAGCCATATTAGCATTAATGCAGATGTAGCGGGCATTGTGTAATCCACTCAATATCTAAGCCACCCAATGGTCTAGAAAGTTGATTATGGGCTTATCATGTGAATAAATGTCTAAATCATTTATACAACATTTGAAACCAGAGAAAAGCCCTGCTCTACGCAAATTTAGCTCTTGGATAATGTCTCTTTAAAATAAAATGCAAATTTTATAGTAGTACCCAGCACTATTGTATAACCATATTCTTTTACCATGATCAATTGAATGCCATCAAGTGATTATTTTCTCAGGTCTACTGAAATTTCAAGTCCAATCACAACCCATTGTTAACATAAGCTTATCTAAGTTCTTTTATGTTCTGCTTAGAATGAATTCAAATTACTAGCTTGTTATTTATTTTCTTTATTTAATACTACTTGCAAACAATTAAATACATCATGAAGGCTAGATTTCGATATTTGCCAGTCACTTCAAAAATTTTGTTTTAAGTTTAAATGTAATTATAACCAGACAATCTCTACACACAACACTAATCTTCTTTTTTATCACGTTGTTGGCTTCTTGAGACTGGATGGTTGAGGCAATCTACTGGATAACATTTCAACATCTAAATCGAAGAATGTCATCTCATTATGACCATAATATTCTGGAACTTGATATGATTTATTATCTAATTTCTGAGCTTTAGGAGCTGAAATAAAATTTTAAAAATGAAACCATTGTCATCGATGTCCATGATAGCAGTCTTTATAAAAATATTCTTTCAGTCAATATGGCAAATAGTTTTCTTTCTGCCTCATTTGCATATGCCCAGCCAGAAGTCTATATTCTTCTACTTTTCTTGGCTCGTTCAACTAGCTCTAATGAGAGACACTATTGAAATTCTGATTTTTTTCCATATAGTTTACTGCCTCTGTTACTAAATCATTATCAAATTTCCCATTTGTTTGATGGTTATTGCCCCTTATCCTGAAAACGAGGAAGCCAAAATGCTTCTAGTATGAATATATTTGATGTATGGCAACACAATTAAAGCTGCTGATAGTAATGATAGTCATTTGTGGCATTTAGATCCCTTGAAAACTAAGTAGGCCTACTATTTTGTAAAAGTCTAATCTCTTGAATGGATAGGCCTAGGTGTATCAGTCAAAAATGGTTCAATTCCATTGGGTAGTTACAAAGATATGAACAATTGAACAATTCACAATTTTGATCATTCTCTGCAGACGATATAAACAAGCCTCCCGGACAATTATAATTGTTGAGTAAAATCATTGGATGGATCTCATTTTAAAGGAGCTAAATCGCTAATATTTGGGACCTAGAAATTGACCCGAATGGGTCGCAACGCATATAATAATGTAATCTGATTGTATATAAACTGATTTACATTCAATTGTTTCCGTTTTGACTCTTAATTTCAAATCAGTTATGTCCAGGGAAATAAAGCATGTGTCTCAACCCTATAGAAATTTCTAGCGTCTGGTTATTCCAGTCTATCGAACAGGCCCCCCAGTTGAATATGTCTAGCCTCGTTCTTTCTGGTCACTTGTTGCAAATGACGCTAAAACACACTATGGTACACGATTCGTGTACCAATGGTAAAATGTTTATTTTGTCTTAAATATTGGATATCAAAAGCCGGCCTTTTCCTGGTAAAATCACAACATCAATGTTGATTTGAATTGACAAATAATTCGTATTTTCAACGTGTAAAACTTTGGATGATATTGATTGAGTTAGAGACTTAGCTACTTTAATCTGAATGAATCCAAGCTAGCTGGGACTGGGTAACTGGGAGATTATCTACCACTTATTTGAGCGTAGATTAAGCTGTGAAAATTCAGATATTCTCTAAAAAAAAAAACGAAACTGCCAATGACAATCAGCGGCTTGAACAGACAATTGATATAACCAAATAATTCGATTTCAATTTATGGTGTTAAAATTTTTGGTTAATAAACCTGTTTTCTTGGCTGCCTTCTTCTCTTTTGTTTCTTTTGTCCCACCTCCATCAGCAGACTTTACATAATTTTGTTGTGAAATACAAAATAATCGGGGTACCTGTAAAAAAAAAAGAAAAAAGAAGCAGATTAAGTAGCCTATTTGAAAAGATAAATAAAACAACAGGTACCGGGTAGTTCATCCGAAAAATCATTAAAATTTCAAGAACACGTGATTATCTCCCTTGACACAGCAAGCTAGCCACAAAACTTATCCATTTGTTATCTTGAAAACTTTTTGGAAACTAATATGAACCATGTAAATAAAAACCAATACACTTGTATTCCCAACATCGGTTAAAATTCAATAATGTCAATTTTTACCGAGCTATTAGCCAAGCGATTTATGAAGCGGGTCGGTAGCATTTTGATGTTTCTGAAAGTCGTCGCTACGTGGTGCTAGTGGTGAACTCCGTGCAGCGGAAGTTGTAACCCTTTTTCGGTCTTTTCCTGTTAGAGGCCACCATGGCGGAGCAGGTGCGTGAAAATTGGTTGACTAATAAAATAAACGAACCCCCCATTTCTATAACGCAAGCAGTTCTAACTCTTCTAAAATGCTTGCCCAGTAATACACTTTGCTGTATTCCAACAGGAAACGTGCTAAAAAATTTATGAGGTTTCTAAATTTTAACCAGAACATTAATAAACAAACTATCTTTTCAACACGTGAGTTGTCCGAGTTCGACATAGACAAATTATGTTAATAGCATTTCAGCAGCACTAAAATGAATTTAATCCAAGTGTTACATTTTCATATTGAGAAGACTCCTTCGCATGGATTTCTCCTCACGAATCCATGTGTTGGCCTACTTAGATCCAGTGAAAAGGCACCATTTTTGTCAATGAATAAATTACTGATCTAGTGAAGGCCTAGTACTTGTAGTACTCAAGTAGTAGTAAGTTTGAGAGAAACAACTTAATTCTGCTAGATACACAAGCACGTAACAAATATGTTTTCGTTATTGGATAAAGTATTAAATGCACCACCGTTATGTTCTCTCAAACATAAAAAAGTTGAATTCCACAGAATGAGACTCGGACTGTTAAGAATCATGATTTTATGTAGGACATGGGGTATAAAAAGTTGCTTTTAAATTTTAAAAGGCTAGAGCTGTACAACCTTTACAGCGCCATGGATTGGCAGACTCAACTACATGTATGACGAGGTTGACGCTAATGTGACCGAGAGCTAATGTGACTGACTGAGAACGTGCCATGTTGAGATCAGTTAATGTAAACCAATAATCATGCTCATGCATGCATAAAAAAAGATTCTCACTGCTATAATTATAATACCTAATTTATAAATGAGCAAACTTTTCATACCCTATAAAATTCATAATCCTTGCAAATATTAGGAGTTGCGACCAAACCAAATGGTTACTCTAAAATGATGAGAGGACATACATGTGTGTATGTGGAATGGCCTTTATTCGAAATTCAAATACCAGGGTAAACTTGTCTTCACTTGTGCATAGTCAATTGGAATTAACTGCACCAATTTGACTGAAATATGGCAAGGATAAAAGAAACGAATAAGTTATCATTATTTTGCAGTTCAGAATTTTCGAACTAAATAGATTGCTTTCTATTTCAATTAAGACAGTTGATACCACTACCCTCTAAAATCTGTTACCTGGTTGCATACTGCATCAGTCTTTAATCATTTATTATGTGATGTGGCCTGCTAGGTCTACATGTAGTTATGGCAGTATTTTGATTTAGTATGAATAAATGCATCATTACTGGTCAATTGTCTATTTCAGAACCAGAAAGCTTTTCAAAAGCAACATCATGTATTTGGTTACAAGAAACTGGCTCTAGTATCTGGCAAAGGTAAAAACCTTCGCTATGTGAAGAAAGTTGGCTTGGGCTTCAGAACCCCAAAAGAGGTGAGATATTGATCATAAATGTGTGACATGGGATGATTATAGAATTTTTTGTGTAAAGCATGAATTTAACTAATTTTGATAAATTAATCAAAATTTTGCAACAATCCAGGAAATGGGATCAATCTACTTGTTGGGCTAGGCTATTAGAGTACCGGTATGTCCAATAGTCAGAATGGTTGTGGTGCAGATTAAAACAGCCAGGTTTCCTCTGTGTAAGAAACATTTTGTGTGAGAGATTGTGCTATTGGCTCAGTTGCTGTTCAGATAATTATATGGTATTATAAATGTAATGATGAATATATCATGACGGTCTTCCTATAAAATACTGAGGACAAAACATGATACTGATACATTTAAATGGGCATTATAGGAGATTAGATAAAGAGTTGACAGTTCTTGCTATAATAGTTACAAAATAGATAATGTAAATGGAATATCCTAAAAAATTCAGTCAAGTTGTTCCACTCTGAACCAAGATATTAGCTTCAGACTTTTAGGCTAGCCTAGATCATCATTACTAAAGTCGGTACAATAAAAAAAATGTCTCGATTATCGAATTTTACATTTAATTATCCATCACAAAATCTATTCCAATCTGCTAAATATCGCAGGCTAGCGATGGCATCGAGAGTTGATTATAGTCTGGATAAGTTATTGTCCGATTAATAATTTTGATAACATTTCAGGCCTAAAGAAAGACCTGTAATATAAGGCAGATTTAGCTCTTGCTTAATGTATGTTTAATGAACCTGATTTGGGTAAAATAAATCATCAATTTGAAATCTTGACATGTTAGTTTAAATATTATATTACCAGTACTCTTTGACTTAATGTATGAAAATTTATAGGCCACTCGATGTTGCTATGCAACTAATTTCTTCACATCACAATTGACTATTTTTGTATAAACAATTAAACCAAAATTAGTAAATAAATTGATTTCCAATAGGTACCTTATACTGTTAAAATGAATTTTAATATACACCCCCTCCCCCTATTCCGCCTACTGCCATGGCCACTGATACTGAAGTCAAGTTTTAATGAGACATTAACCAATGACTTTTTCTAAATCTTAAGATGTACAAGTCAGTTAAGAATTCAACATTAAGTTCAATTGCTTATGATGAACATATCATGACGGTCTTCCTAAAAACCATGAGGACAAAACATGATACTGAAGCACAATAAATTTATTGTTTTAAACAGTATTTCAAATATATTGTGCAATTTAAAGGTATAAAGAATAGAATACAATAATTAATGTTAGTATGAAATACCTTAGCCTGGTTGATGCAGAAAAGTAGAGGGGGGTAGGGAGCTGAAAGGTTTAATGGTGTGTTAGATAATAAGGTCTGTCATTGAGTCAAGTGGCTTGGTTTTGATCCCAAACGTGAACGTAACAATTAAAAGGGTCGCCAGCCTAACCTTTGTGGTTTTCACAAGGTCCTCAGTTTCATCCCGCATCTAAATACTCCTACGCACAAGCAAACTATATGAATAATATTAAATCATGTGCTAGGCCTGAAATTACCTAGTTTGTCAAGTGGCTGTTAAACCACTTGTCCCTGTCTGGCAGAAAAGTAGGATACAACATCCCATTTCATCTTTGAACCAATTCAGTTGATATTACTTTAAGTCTCGCTAGAAATTGAAAATAACTTAAAGTTTATTGACATGTACCTGTTGACACAATAAATTCAATTGTTTATGATGAATATATCATGACGGTCTTCCTAAAATCCATGAGGATAAAACATGATACTGAAACATGACACAAGACATTCAGATTTCTCAAGATTTAAGTATAGTTCAGTAACTAATTAAACTCCTTTAGCTCATTTTACAATTATGGTAGTTCAAATTGTTTATGATGAATATATCATGACGGTCTTCCTAGAACTCATGAGGACAAAACATGATACTGAAACACAAAAAATTTATACATGTAACTACACTAAATGAACCCATGTTTATTAGGCTGCCAGGTTGTATTATTTTTAGAATGCTGTGACTAAAGAATTAGTCTCTTTTAACAATAAAATGTGATTTTATATAATTTGATGAATTATATTTTCAGGCTATTGAAGGTACCTACATTGATAAAAAATGTCCATTTACTGGCAACGTGAATATCAGAGGTCGAATATTGATGGGTGTCGTACAAAAAATGAAAATGCAAAGGACAATTGTAATTAGAAGAGATTACATTCATTATGTAACAAAATATAAGAGATTTGAGAGAAGACATAAGAATATGTCAGTCCATCTTAGTCCATGTTTCAGGTTAGTAAAGGACAGCCTCCCAATTATCTACATGTAGCTAAGTACTGTATTTGAATAATTTGTACTTTTACCAAATCTCGGTAGTACAGGTGTAATGATGAATATATCATGACGGTCTTCCTATAAAATACTGAGGACAAAACATGATACTGATACATTTTCTGTTTTAGTTGATTTTAAAGTAACAGTAAAATTGGTGTGAATAGTATCAAAGAAAAGTACATTTTGATAGGCATAAAAAAAATAATACAGCTTTGCGTAACTACTCAAGTACACATAATCCCATATAGTATGTATATAAAATAGTAATTTAGCTATTCCTCAAATTGAACAATTCATTTATTTGTGATTAAGTAGCAATAAGCTTATATTGGCCTTAAATTGTTGTATAATATTAGATACAATTACAAAAATATCTGCTTGCTGTATTCTGTGAGTGCTTTCACCAGGTTATATTAAAAGTCATGGCATATATTTTATTAGACACAGTTAGAATATTGGGATAGGATCAGGGCTGTCGGTAATTTTTCACAGATGATTAGCAGCACTGCTAATCAAAAAGTCCAATTTTGCCAAATTTGATTAGCAAATTTAAAAATTGATTAGCAGTTTTTCAGTTTCAAATCAATATAAAACACCTAAATAACAAGATTATTTTAATTTTAATTGATAGCAAATGATTAGATTTCATTCTTAAGATTTTTTAGAATTTTAGCACTTCCACAGCTAGCTGTGAACATTTCTGAATGAACGTAGACTTTTGTTAGGCCTTATGTCTGAAGCCAATTCTTGGCAGATGCTTCTTATTTCTTCGTTAGAAAACAATTTCGTCTGCTTTTTATCGTGTGTTATTATTTTTGTTCAATCGGAAGCACGCGGTATTTTACGAATAATCTCGATTAACTAGACGCACGCGATATAAACAATAATAGTTTACGGGAATTCTTACTTTGATTTCTCACTTTACAATACGGTTACACGTATTTATTTTTTATATTTTATTTACAATACGTGGGGGATACACTGAATTTATTTTTTTTCAAATTTAATACTGATATAATTACTCGAAATTGACATGTCTCGCAACGTGAGTGGTACTACTTGATCCCTATTTCCGGTTTAATAGTCCCGATTCATAGAGTTATGTCCCTGTATTATATAGTATCATGAATTGAGTCTGGGTAGTTCGAGAAGAAAATGTCACACGGAGAATTCCGTTTTGTTTATAAAATTTATTTGATATTTTATACACGTTGAAAGTGTTGAGAAATGTGGATAAATCTTTGTGTCAATATCCAAAATGACAGGCATATTAATGATTCGCAGTTACTGCGAATCAAAAACGTTAGATTTTAATTTTTGATTAGCAACGGACAAAATATGTATCGCAAATTGCGCTGCGATACTGGTTGTCGGCAGCTCTGGATAGGATGAATTTGAATACAGCAATTTAACACTAGGTCACACTGCCACTAATTGTCATAAAGATCATTGTAGATTTTGTATGATACATACCGTAATACTGGTAATTATATAGCTCTGTAAGATGATGAATATATCATGACGGTCTTCCTATAAAATACTGAGGACAAAACATGATACTGATACTTCAGAGTTAAAAAGCCACATCAGTAAAAAAAAATTGTTCTATTCACTGGTTCAAAAGTTCATATGATTTATTAGGTCATCTATTCAAACTCATATGCTGTAAAATGTATGGGGGAAAAAAACATACCTTTGCTTTCAGGATGATATCTCCAGATTTCTGACCATGTCCTCAGAAGCAGATATATAAATTTGACATTTTAGTATATAACTGTATTGAACAAATGTGCTAGTGTATATATACACATGTATGTAATATGCTTTGTAAAAGAAGGTCCAATTTGCTGAAATCCATACCATTTATTTAATGTTAAGTTTTCATTGTGATATAATTTGTGTTCATATCTTTCAGAGATGTTAAAATTGGTGATACAGTGACTGTTGGAGAATGTCGACCTCTTAGTAAAACTGTTCGATTCAACGTTCTTAAAGTTACAAAAGCTGCCGGAAGTCGAAAAGAATTTATCAAATTCTAATCTGTAAAAAAAAATAAAAGTAAAAAACCAAAGAAATTGTTTGTTTAAAATGCAATTATTAGTGATATAAACTCCTCTAATGAGAAGTGATATTGGTTGCTCTAGATGGAGGTATCCATTATAAGCCTTGCCAATGTTCAATTAGCAGTTGTGTGTGGAAGCTCAAGTCACTGTCCAGTCATATTATGAACATTAAAATCAGCACACTAAAGATGTCTACTATATGTAGGTAGTAAAAGAGTTATAAAAACACTTCCCTGCTCGACTAAATACCTTGTACTTTAGAAGCAGTTTTTTTAGCTTTGGCATTGAGATTATTAAATAATGCACCAGTAAATGTACATTGGTATGTTTAATCGCCAGTTGGCAGATATTCAGAATCGCAGAAATCCTAAATTGGTACATCTTTCATTCTGTCTTTGTTCATGAAGCGGAGCTGGGGTGGTTCAGTAAGACAGCTCTCTGAACTGGGGTTCCCTGGTGATGTCCGAGAAAGTTAACCTGGCTTATCCTGCGTGGCTACCCCTACTCAGTGGTGCAGGACAGAGGGTCTGGCAAGGGACAAAGTATAGTTGTTTAGATGATACGGAAAACAAAAGTCCCGTGTACACATTGACGTGCACGTTAAAGAACCCTTCTTAGTTGCAATTCGATATAAGAGTAGGCAATTACATCGGAGCACTTTTGAGTAAAAAAAAAAAATAGGTTTGTGCTCTTGTTTTGAAATTAATCTCGCTTAACCAGTCTGCCGACAATTCTCCGTTTGACTGACGTGTCAGTATAATCAAGACTACTTATTTACGAAACATAAAGCTGTAACAACAAATTGAATTTAGAAACCTGCACGTTAGGCAACTCAACAATTGTTTTAAGAACCTTGTAAAAGTAAATTGAAACTACTGCTGGTATCATGTTCTTGTCTAACCCGAGTGTTTCAGAGATATTATTTGTACTAAACCAAAAGATTCCACCCCTAACGGGTTAGTTATTGATAAAGCAATTTAAAAAATAAAACGAACGGAATTTCTAAAGCTGGTGTAATAACCAAAAAGTTAAATATTACTACTATTCAGAATCGTCAATAATAGATTTTTTACGGCTGTAATAGTTCATGGCTATTTATAGACTATATGAGTGTTGTCGTACAGCGTGACTAGCCGGAAATCACTTGGAGACAAGCCACTGAAGCGTACACATTCGCCGTGTTGAGTTCAAGTTTCAGTAGAGAAATTTTTCGCTGTACTAGGCACCCAACCTGTATATTTCCAGTCTTTAAACAATGGGTCCAGTGCAATGATGTACAGGGTATGCGGTATTTTGAAGCTTTTCGTATTCTTTAAAAATCTGGCCTGGATTTTTAGTTCTCAAAGATATTATATTGAAGATACCTAAGTCAGCAGACATTTCATTCTCGAGAAATATGACGGCTACAGCTATATTGAAGAATAACGTTGCCAATATTATTTCACATATTTTAGTTTTGCCATTTCCATTGCTCCACAATATCAATGTCACAGTGTTAAATACAGAATACACTTTTAATAATAGTAAATACAGTATAATAGTTATTTTGAACATTACACTTCTCCATTCTGGATTTTGCATAATAGAACTTGGCATATTAGAACATACTTTATATGGGATCTACGACGTAACTCATTTGCATACGGAAAAGGTCCGGACTAAGACGGAAAATAATAATTTACGATCAATCTACAAGGTCAAAGTCAGTAGTAAGGGGTGGGGTGGTACCCATATTTACAGACCCTGGAAAACTATTAATGAAATGGGGTTTAACGACCTACTGTTCTGCCCCAACTGGGCTAATGAAAACGGGCATACGCCAGGCAGTGTGCTATGAGTGAAAAGTTTCCCGCGTCGCTATATACGGCCTACTCTTGTATAGAATTCCAACTGCTAAGGGCTATTTTATGTGCACGCTAATGTGTACGCGAGACCTTGTTTTTTGGTGGCATCCGAACGACTGGTTAGGCCCTCCGTCCTGTATCACTGACATGGGGGGGAAAGAAAAACGATCAAGGGACCAAGGTCAGGTGGTAAGAAACTATTAAATGACGGGGGTGGAAGTATTTAAAATAAAAATACATGTTTTAAAGTAGCTAAGTCTCTAACTCAATATCATCCAAAATCTTCAACATTGAAAACACAAATTATTTGTCAAATTAAATCAACATTCATGTTGTGATCTTACCAGGAAAAGATGGGCCTCTGATATCCAATATTTAAGACAAAATAAACATTTTACCATTGGTACACGATCCGTGTACCATAATGCGCTTCAGCCCCAGTTGTATCAAGAGACTCGAGGGACGAGGCTAGACACATTGCACCAAATCAAACGGTGTATGTAGACTGGAATAACCAGACGCTAGAAATTTGCACTCGCTTGAGACTGCTGGCTTATTTCGCTGAACATAACTGATTTGAAATTGGAGTAAAAACGGAAACCATTGAATGTAAATCAGTTTATATACATTCATATTACAGTATTATATGCGTTGCGACCCACTTTTGTCAATTTCTAGGTCCCAAATTTTAGCGATTTAGCTCCTTTAATACGAAATTCCAGATATTTTTATTGCTCTTTTCAAATACTTAAATAATTTTTGGCACATTCATATTTACACACATGTACTTTGAAAAAGTGAAATGAAATGGGGTTTTACGTCCTACTGTTCTTTTCCGATTGGGTTAATGAAGACGGACACCAGGCCCGTAGCCAGGGCAGGGCCCGATTCCTAGAAATTCTTAAGCACGTTCTTGTGCTTAGATTTAAGTAGACTTTGCATTTAAGTAAACTTACCTTATTTTGTGTTCCCAGTAAATTCTTAAGAACGTTCTTGTGCTTAGATTTTAAGTAGACTTCATTGTAAGCACAAGAACGATATTATGCGTTCCAAGAAAAAAACTTAAGCACAACTTCGTTCTTAAACATAGTCAATCTAAGCACAAGTCCCAAGCAAGGGATATAGGGCTTGCTTACCAACCTTAAGTCTGTTTCTGCTTCAAAAAGATGGCTGACCGTAGAGTTATTCGACGGCAATTCCGACACCTTTTGATACCAAAGAGACAATTACAAGACAGAGAAAATCGTTCTCCAGAAGAAATTTCAAATTAAGAATGCTATAGAAAATTTCGCTTCTAGGCCTACCCTGAAACCATTTTATTTATTTGCCAATTAGTAAACAATGGGCTACAAACACACAGGCTACTTTAAGATCAGGCGCTCTCACAATTATTCAGTTAGTTTGTATGTGTCTGCGTTTTTTTTATCTTGTGGCACATTTTATATGTGAATATGAAACATGTCAAATGCATCGAAATGAACCATATATATATATATATATATATATATATATTATATATATATGACGTCAATGAAGCAGACGACAAATTAAGGACGTAATTCGCAATTCGCATACCAAAGTTGTTTTTATGACGTTATGAGCATCGTAGTCTCAGTTTATGGTAAACCTTACCAGTCACAATTAGAGTTATACTTGACTTGTGCTTACGTAAGAATGGTCTTGAGAATTTTCTAGGGACTGTATTTTTATAAGTTTCTTACGTAAGAAAAAGTGAAGCATGACTTTGTGCTTACTTTAAGAATTTTCTAGGAACCGGGCCCTGGCTGCGGAGGGAAAATGAACTTTTTAAGGGGGGTGGCGTCTCCCCCTCGATGAAGCGGGTACCAGGATCCTCTCCAGTCTACCAGGTCATGTACAAAAAGACTATCGCAGAGAGTGGGCCAGTGGGAAGGGGCGAACTGCAAGCGGACCCCATGTGTAATTGGATTAGCACATGGGCCAGTCCGGGTAGGTGACATCGGTTCGCCATTCCTGTTGTCAAGCGAGCTGGTTGAGTGAGAAGCGGGGCCCACTGAAATATTGGACAATTAACAAGTCCGCTAATTGTCAACAAGAAATAATATTTCGGGTTATGCACCCTCCCCCTTTCCCTTTGCCCCTGTCTGGCTACGGGAGTGACGGGCATACGCCATACAGTATGCTATGAGGGAAATTTCGAATTCCAACTGCCAAAGGATCTTTTACGTGCACGCCAAAATAGGCCTATACACGGGATCTCGGGCTTTCGTCCGATCCGAACGACTAGACAGCTGTCCTTGTCAGCCCCTCCTTCCTACACCACTGACAAGGTGAATCCACGTCGGAAAACCCGATTGACTTTCTCGGCCAATGCAGGATTCGAACACGCGTCTTCCCCCACTTAGCCACCTTGGGCCCCTACTTATTTCCGTCCAAATCTGGACTTTTTTACGTATGCAAATGAGCTTTGTCGTAGATCCCATATAAGATCCTATATGTTCTAATGTGCGATGTTCTATTATGCATTTGTCTCAAATGCAAAATGCAGAATGGAGAAGTGTAATGTGAAAAATAACTATTATACTGTATTTGTATTATTGAAAAGTGTATTCTGTATTTTAATACTGTGAGTCTGTGACACACCGATACTAACTTGCCTTAAAATACCTAATTCTTGTCCGTATATGCCACGATATTTCGTTTGTAGCCTAAATACAATATTCGAATAACCATAAAATCTATGTCTGCCTTCATTTAAAAATAAATGAAATGAGGTTTAACGTCCTACACCTGGATCTGCTCCGACTGTGCTAATGAAAACCGCTACCTTCATTAAAGATGCCCTGGCGCGGCCGTACAAAATGCGATTTGCTCATATATTCGGACTAAAAACGTATTCAAAGTAATTTATGGACAGTTCACGTCCCTCTCAAAACATATCATTTGCAAGAAAAATACCCCATCTATTTTTGGAAGCCTTGTTTGTCACGTGACCTGATTGATGGAAAGTCCAGTATTAGTCGCAAACTGCACGCAGCGATCCATCTACGTCATAGGCTACTTCGAAATTATGATCACTGCCCTAGTTGACCTCCAATTAAAACGCCCCCGTGATCATTTTAGGGCGGGACTTATCGACTTGACTCCTGCTTTGTGTACACAACAGAGTAAAAATAACCCGATCAAGCACGTGTTTTATGTAAACACATGTCATTGGCAAAATGTCAACTTCTGCCACTCCGGTAAAAGCGATATATAATATGTGCTAGTGGGTAATATTGCAATACATTCTTTGCCATTGTAAACTGTCTTTAGAGTTTCAATCTGTTTATCTTTCAAAAGAAGGTTAGGTACTCCTAAATTTGTCTTCGCAAACAAAACCGCCCCTGTGAAATTATCTTTCATGGGCGCCGCCATATTGAATAATTAGAGGACTATTTTGTGATTCGGCTTTGATTAGTTTGACATCTTTCATACACACAGCGACTATTGTAGGCTACCTATATCATTCACATTTCCCATGTGGTAAAATATGGACAGCTTTACCCCAAATTACAGGTTCGTCGCTCAGATAGTTTTAATATAGTACGAATTTTTTTTATTTTTTTTAAAAAAAGACTTGAATTAAGGGTTAGCCTTCCGGGCTCAGAAGTTGTATCAAAGCCACTAAATTTGAAATATTATTATGTCTCTCGCCTTGCATGTAAGCGTATTTTCTACCCAGAAATCGAATTTCGTATTCTTTTACAGTGTGCTATGGGGGAAATTCCAACCACCAAGGATCATTTTAGCCTATGGTGCTAGCTAACACAATGCCTGGGGTTTTCGTCCTATCCGGACGACTATACGTCGGTCCTTAACTTAAGACGGAACCATGCCGGAAAATCCCAATCAACTTGCTCGGCCAATGCCGATGGTAACGAACTTAGGCCTGCTCACTGAGCCACCGCGGCACAGTGTCATACAGGCGCAAGGTCGAACCGGGAGTCGTAGGAAGTAATTACGTGAATATTGGGCTACCGTAGGCCTACCGGTACTTAAAATTGTGCGGTTATGCCAATTGTTGTTGTTTTTTGTCAGTATCTATACTATGTGTGTTTTTTTTTTAAATTTTATTTGGGGATTTAGGCTTCGCTGCACGCAAAACTGACGAAACAATGAATTTTCCCTCCATTACAGCAAAATATGTATAAAACAATCGAAAATTTGAAAGTTACGCACGCTCAAATTGCGTTTAAATCTGCTGAAAATTTAAAAGTACGTTCACTTTCGCGCACTTGTAAATCACGTGATTAAACGTCCTTGAGCTCTGCTTGAAGCAATGGCGAACCCCATATAGGTGCCTTGAACGGGGTTCATTATGTCGAGAAAAGGGGGACGAAATCGGGGGAAAGATGGCGGCGCCCATGACGATACACATGAAAGCACTACAGAGGCCGAAGAAATTGAGAGTAACGGATTATTGGACGCCGAGTACTTGCCTAAATCAATCAAAAATAATACTGCTGCCACTACAATTTGTCTTCAAGATGGCGGAGTGGAAGGGAATAGCGACGGATTGGGTTTGTTGGCGTCTGACAGCGATGATTTGGAGAGTTATGAACGATCGGTGATTGAAAATAATACGGAATGGTTAAAATCAAGATGTCGTAGTTTAGAAGGAGTGGATTTTGATATCCCAACTAGTAGTCATGACGACATTTTAGATCTAGAGGTGAAAGAAAAAGACATGGATGGCGGCTTGTTTGAGGAAATGGACACCATCACAGGTATTGTTGTAAATTGATTGGTCCAATCTTATGTGACGTCACCGATGTAAACAAAAAGAACTCATCTTGCTTATAATTACTATATTATTATTATTACATTGTCAGGTGTTATAAAATAAAATAAAATTGAAATAAATTTAAATGAAAGTTTCATTGTACCGGTACTATTATTAATTTTAAACATAGTGATAGTAATATGTAATGAAATGAAATGGGGTTTAACGTCCTACTGTTCTGCTCCTAACCTGGCCAAATGAAGACGGGCATACGCCATACAGTGTGCTATGAAGGAAATTTTGCCCGGGCAGCGGCGCTACGGCCTACTCTTATATCAAATTCCAACTGCCAAGGGATCTTTTACGTGCACGCCAATGTATACATGGGACCTTGGTTTTTCGGCCCATCCGAATGACTAGACAGCTGTCCTTGTCAGGCCCTCCGTCCTGCATCACTGACAAGGATAGTAATGTAATAGTAGAATAGCCTACATGTATACTAGTTACTAGTATAAGTGGTTAATTTTGATACCTGCATCTGAAATTACATGTAAACTAATTGGCTAATTGCAAAACAGTCAGCCGGGCAGAGAAAGCAAACTTACAGAATGTTTAAGCTACACAGAATTACAAAAATGATTATCGTTAGCTGTGGGAAATCTTGGAGCAATATTACATGATAGGCGTTATATAATTTTATTTCAGGAGATGATGGTGAAGACACACCTGTAATTAGAATCTGTGGGAAAACTGGTGTCTTGTCAACTTCGGCTCTCAGTGTTTCATCAGACAGAAACATTCAAATAGCACCTCTCAACACTTCAAAAGACATGGGTAATTCAAGTAATGAAACCGATGGCTTAGAAATGGAAGATTTACAAATGGACAGTTCAGATGAAGCAAATAAAAGTTCTGAAGAAGACTTCAGAATCCCCAGTGCTATTCTACTTTCTGCTCAAGAACTGGAATCTCTGCAAGGTCAAGGTTATGTGTTTGACACTTTAGGTCCCGACACCTTGATGGATGGGACAACAAAACTCATGACAATGTCAGATAATCAATCGTCTTTAAGTGCTAATTCATCTGTGATAACAAACTCTGCTGAAGCTAAATCGAACGAACTAATTCAACAAACGAATACAGAACATGGTGTTCCCACTATAAACTTAACGGGAAAATTATCCAAACCTGAAGCCATGACAACAGTTATACCGTCAAGTACTGGTACATATGTTGTGGCTCAACCAGACCCAACAGATTCTACAGAAAACTCAGCTCAACCAAACCTTACACTGGCAACAATTTCAATATCGACAGACAAGGTTGCTAACTCAACTCAAATTCTTGTTAATACTAATCAAGGGCAACAACTCTATTTAATTAACACAGCAGATTTAACACAAGCAACCAATGCTCTTCAACCACTGACTAAACCTCAGGAAACAAGTGTTAGTAGTAGTCCAGTTAGTCCAGTCTTAACACCGTCAGCATCATCCATGATGTCTGTGTCTCAGCTTCCAGTACAACTTCAAGGAACAGGTGCGACTTTATTGTTTATTTTACTTTTATTTATTCCAGAGAAAGTAGTCACTGTCGAATATCCCCAACTTCTTATTTTATTGTATAAAGATTTAGATTTTTCTTAAGAATGACAATAACTCTTTATGGAATCAGTAGTATAATACAAAGGAGATAATAATACCAGGACATTGGCATTGTTGTCTTCTCTTTATCAAATTCCAACTGTTGTGGGATTTTATACAAGCACAACAAATAAACATTTTTTTCTATTTTCAGGTTATTTATTATTACCAATGAATTCGGATAATAATTCTCAAGGAATGGTTTTATCAATGGGTTCATCGTCATTAGATGTAAGTTGTACAGAATGATTAAAATAATTTGGAAATTGCTTTAAAAATTGCTAAAATTAGCCCCACATAATGAACATGTATACAAGAAAGATATCATGAAAAACCCAGTAAGATTTTTTGGGGTTTACCACTAATTGTGTTTTTATTTTTCAGAGAAGTCCAAGTAAAAAAATCTGGGTCTGTCCAGAAGAAGGTTGTAATAAGGTTTTTCGTAAATTGTCAAAATTAAAAATACATCAGATGAGGCATACCGGTGAACGACCTTATAAGGTACATGTATGGTAGAGTTTTTGTGTCATTTTTGCTTAGAACACCTGGCCCCAAGTTCACAAAGCATTCTCAGACTCAAGTTAAGAATTTACTCATCTTTCAATCACTGTTTATGAGAAATATCTTTGATCCAGAAACAGAAATCTTTGCACATAGTTTCTTATTGATGTATTTGATACATTAAACAGCAAAAGTTTTCTAAAGGGCTATATTTTAGTTAAAATAGGGCGAACAATTTTGATTAAATTCTTAACTTAAGTCTGAGAATGCTTTGTGAACTCGGGGCCTGATTGTTTTTAGATATAGTTTTAGGTTATGCACAGAAGAGATTCAGATATTCTGTGTTATAAAAAAATGTTGATAATTACTACATTTCGGTCCAGGTAGACAACTTTCATCAGCAACATTATGGACGCATATTTTAAGAAGTATCCACTCTTTATAGATGCTTGATTGTGATGTAATAATACTCTGGGACTGGGAGGATTAATCATCTACGTGGAACTATATGAGATCATTTTCTTAGAGGGGAGTATTTAGAGGTGTTGCTCACTGCACTTCTATGCATAAATTATTTGTAAGTGTAAATTATGTTTGTATTTTCAGTGTTCAAAGCCAGGCTGTGATTGGGCGTTTACTACAGCTTATAAATTAAAGAGACATGAAGAAGCTCACGGAGGTAGAAAAGATTTCATTGTAAGTTTTATTCTTGTAAATTCAGTATTACCGAAAACCATGTGAATGTACCCTGCTTTGGTTCTACAACCAAAAGGGAGATTGGATTGCTGAATCGTGAGTACGTGCGCGCTGTATCATACGGTCTGGTTTCGATTCCCCAGTTATATGTGACAAGGAGTACTGTTGCCTGTCCAACCTGGTGGGTTTTTTCAGGGTCCTTCAGTTTCCTTCCACTGCTAAAGACCCCATCGCGCAAGCAAATTATTGAAATAAAATTGAACCATATGTTAGTCCCGAAATGACCTAGTTTGTGTCGAGTGGACTTAAACCCCATCCCTCTCTCTCTCCCTCTCTCTCTCTCTCTCTCTCCAACCAATAGTCATATCGTTTTGAGATTCTTAAAATTGTGGTCACACCCCCTTTGATTTTTACAGTATATTTTCTAATCATGACATATTCCTTTTGTTAAGTACCGGTACTGTATTTGATTATCAGCAGCCAAAACTAATTTGGTTTTGGTGGACTTAGACTTCATTTCACATTTAGAAAAACCATTAGGATAATCATTTGCTATCCATACAGATATCTCTTTACAAATAAATTTAATTGATTTAAATTGTATAAATCAATAACCCATGACTGGCATTGTTATAGAAAATTCTAGCATTGACAAATCAGTATTTATAACTACATGTAGCTTTATTAAACATGCATTATGCAAGAGCAAAATCTGCTTATTACAAGTCTTTCTTTAGGCCTGAAATGTTATCTAAATTATCAATTAGACATTAATTAACTTATCCAGACCATAATAAACTCTCGATGTCAAGGCTAGCCTTCGATGTTGGCTGGATTAGATTCCTATATGCCGCTAACGGCTATTGATAATTAAATCAATAAAAGCAGATAATCGAGACTATGCTGTTTATATTAATGATTTTAGTAATGATGACCGAGACTATGCCAAAATTTCAACCGCTTCTTTCGCGGCTCATAGTGGATCAATTTGTCTGAAATTTTCAGCAAATTACCTTTACACTATCTAGTTTTTAACTATTATAGCGAGAACTGCCATCTCTTTATCTTATCTCCCATAATGTATCTTTAAGTTAACCTACTTGAAAATCAATACAAAATTTTTACAACTTGTATATCAAAAGTTAAAAGGTTGATTTCCCAAATGTTACTTGCTAGAATTATCTCAACAGACTTGTCAAACAATCTAATTTGTACATGGATTTGAAAATTACTTTTTACTACTATCAAATCTCAAAGGTGCTAATGACTAGATCCATCATGACAGCTTGTACTCCACGATTGGTCAGCTTTATACCTTTATATTTTTTTATTTATTTTTTTTTCAGTGTGATTTTGAAGGATGTGGTAGAAAATTTACAACTATCTATAATTTAAATTCACACAAAAAACTTCACGAGCGACCATATACAGAGATTTGTCCTAAATCAACATGTAGACAGCAATTTACAACCAAACGACAGTTAGATATTCACATGCGGAGCCATTCAGGTGTCGAAAAAAATTATAAGTAAGTTAAAGATGTTATGAATCAAGGCCACCACCTTGCGAACAAGTCACATATTATGGGTTATAACTAGATAGATACAGGAATTTTGAAAAAGTGCTATGCTTGAAAAGCTACAATTGTAAGTTACATGAAAACTGATGAACAGATAGTATTCTGACAATCAGTAAAATACATGTACAATAGGCTTTTCTTCATATTCAGTTAGCACATGCTGTTATCAAGGCCTGCACACACCAAGGATTGTCGTCAGCTTGGCTCTATTTCTTGTCACAGACAATCAGTCGAGCGTTATATGTATTCAGTGATTGTTTTGTTATAATAATAATTTATTTATAATGCGCCTATTACAAATATAAAATACTGCTCAATGGTGCAATTAACATTTTGTGGACATAAAAATTAGCAAATACTACCACACATAGGATTAGAATATATCATGCAATTGGAAATATATTTGTGTAATCCTGTTTGTTTGTCGCCGATTATTTGTCTGTCAGAACCACACATATTACCGACAAAACATCTTAAACAATCTGTCGCGTTGTACAGTCGCTGACAAATAATCCTTACTGTACACAAGCCTTTACGCAATATGCACTATTTGCGGGATCAATGCGATTCAATACTATTTTGGAATGTTGAATGAAGTAATCCCATAGTATTTTGGCAGACATAAATGTCTTGGTTTGATTGTGCACCTCTCAGCTTTATCTACCTGTGCAGTAGTTATCCCATCTATGCCATAGATTAGACATGTATTCTGGTCCCTTGATTTTAATTAACAGATATCTTATATAAATGTTACAGGTGTCCACATGAAGGATGTAATAAAGTATTTTTCTCTAAAAATTGTATGGGTTCACATGCTCGGGTTCATCTTCAAGACCGGGAGGATTTACAGTGTAAATTTGAAGGCTGTGGTAAAGTTTTTGATAAACTATGTCGTCTAAAGCAACACACAAGGCAACACACAGGAGAAAAACCTTATGTCTGTCAAGCTGAGGTTAGTAGTTCTGCTGCTCTGTTTTAGGTAATGCATCCACAGGGCTGCCGACAACCAGTATCGCAGCGCAATTTGCGATACATATTTTGTCCGTTGCTAATCAAAAATTAAAATCTAACTTTTTTGATTCGCAGTAACTGCGAATCATTAATATGCCTGTCATTTTGGATATTGACACAAGGATAATCCACTTTCAACGTGTATAAAATGCCGAATAAAATTTTATAAACAAAACTGAATTCTCTGTGTGACATTTTCTTCTCGAACTACCCAGACACAATTCATTATACTACACGTATATAATAAAGGGACATAACTCTATGAATAGCGACTATTAAACCGGAAATAGGGAATCAAGTAGTACCACTCACGTTGCGGGACATGTCAATTTCAAGTAATTATATCAGAAAACATTTTGAAAGAAATAAATCCAGTGTATGCCCGCGTATTGTAAATAAAATTTATAAAAATAAATACATCTTAACGTATTGTAACATGATAAATCAAAGTAAGAATTCCCGTAAAATGTTATTGTTCATATCGCGTGTGTCTAGTTAATAATAATAAAGGTGCGCGCGATTGAACCAAAATAGTAATACACGATAAAAAGCTGACGAAATTGTTTTCTAAAGAAGATTTCTAACGTAACAAAGAAATAACAATTAAAATGAGTAGGGCTTCGGAAGTCACTGCCAAGATTTGGCTTCAGACATTCACATTCACAAACTGTCACAACTACATGTGGCAGTGGTAAAAAAAATCTAAGAATGAAATCTAATCATCATATTTGTTATGAATTAAAGTAATTTCTTGTTATTTAGGTGTTTTATGTTGAAACTGAAAAACTGCTAATCAATTTTTAAATTTGCTAATCAAATTTGGCGAAATTGGACTTTTTGATATGCAGTGCTGCTAATCAACTGTGAAAAATTACCGACAGCCCTGTGCATCCAAACTATTTTTCTAAGTTAAATGCTACATATAATTCAGTTTATTGTGTAAACTTCTCAAAAGTCACATGGTAGATAATATATTTAAGTATAGTTCATTTTATTGTGGAAACTTCTCAAAAGTCACATGGTAATACGAAAAAGAAATGGAAGGATCTGTAACATTATGGATTCATTGATGATTAGTTTACAGTATTAGAGTTATACTAATTAAACTTTATAACTTTATGTTTACCTGTCGTTTATCTTAATTTTCAGGGTTGTAATTGGGCATTTGCAACTGCCAGTAAATTAAAACGGCATTCGGCTAAACATACAGGTGTACGTAAATGGACATGTAGTATTTGTTTAAAGGCATTTATGCGTGCGGAACATTTAAAAGGTCATATGGTAACACATTCTGGTGACAAACCTTTCTCTTGTCCCGTAGATAGTAAGTTTATATATTTATCTTTTATAAAAATAATCAATCTGTCGTCATCTTTACACTTAGTCTGTTCATTACACTCACCTTTTTCTCAAAATGAAATACCATATATCAAATATGAACCAGCTCGTATAATTTTGAGGTTAAAGCGAGAGAGAAATTGGGTTTAACGTCGACTCACCACAAACTAGGTCATTTCAGGAATAACACATGGTTTAATTTTATTTCAATAATTCGCTTGCACGTAGAGGTCTTTAGCAGTGGGAGGAAAACAGAGAAAACCCACGAGGTTGGACAGGCGACCATACTCCTTGTCACGTACACCCGCCAAATCGAAACCACGCCAATTGACTCAATGACAGATCATGCTAGCCATTCAGCCATCCATCCCCCCCTGAGGTTAAAGCCATATTGTTAGTAAAAATAATTATGATCATCAAATCACACAGTCTGTATGTGGGATGATTCTTTAATTTGAATTATTTATTGTTTCAGATTGTTTAGCCAAGTTTACAGCGAAGGGTAGTTTATATGTGCATTTAAAACGTCATGAGTTACATGATAAAAAAATAACATATCATTGTCCTATTGATGGCTGTCTTAGTCATTACAACAATAAAAGTAGTCTACGAAGTCATATATTAAAACATTATCTCAACACACCTGCAGGTATGTTCACCTGAATTCATTTTCATTATATTACAGATCAATCAGATTATCGTTTTTATAGTTCAAAATTTCGTTTTACTTGTTTTTACTACACTAGGATCTGGATGAGTTGTTATCATTATCGTGTTCTGAATGATGTGAGCTATAAGCAAATGAAACGGTCTGTTACAGCAAGCTTTAGGCGTGTTTTGCACAGAACTGTGGGTAATCCACTAGTAACATCAATGCTGATTCGTTAATCAAATGTCTGATGTCATAGGGTCAAAAGATGCTCGTATGACCTCTGACGCGACCTATCGCTACAACCTGTCAGATCTTCATATAGTGTAGGCCATCGAAAGTTTAAAAAAAAACGAAACAAAATATAGATCTGTATTTTAATCAGATGGATTACAGATGTAATTTGCTTTATTTTATTATATCAATAGAAAAATATTAATACTTGTTTGAATTTAGTGTTTTTCAATATGTAGAAATAGATAATATACAGATCTGGGTTGATACTTACAAAAAAAGTAATTGTAATATACAAAACACTGTTATTATCAATGACGAGCTGTAGGTGTTGGAAAGTACCTTAATGTGGGATCCAAAAAATCAGGGTATACCTATGTACACACGGGAAAATACACATTACAAGAAACCTTGACAGTTGGAATTTGATGAAGAGAAGATGAAAACACCACTCTCTGTTTAAAATTCTCCATCCCTAGCACTGAACTTGTGTGACCATACAAAACAGTAACCATACTATAGACACAAAGTGACTGAAGTACGTGTCCAAGAGTTAATCTCTATTCCTATACTAGGAGTAATAAATTCGAAAAAAAGAATAACTCTTGTTTATTTTTGTATTCTGGTGCTTTAAATCATGACAAGTTCATTTGCTATTGTAGGTGGCGATACTAGTCATCTGGATTTAGTGCCGTTATTAACAGGGGATGACATGTCTGACTCTGCCATCGATAATTTAATATCAACGTCAGCTAGTGATAGTTCAGCACCAACATCTATTAGTAAGTTCAGTTTACTTCTATTCTCTAAAATATCTTCAAAAGTTCAAATGACACGACGAGTTTTGATTTAAAGTAAAAAATTTGTCAGAAAAGTAAAGAGTTTCTCGGAAGGTAATGTCCCAGTAAAAGTATGATGTGTCTCCAAGTTATAATAGTATTCCTCATAACCTCCATAATTTGTCAGTTGGATCATGAAATACAGCATCAAGTGTAAAATAAATAAACTGTTAAATCTGTACAAACATTGGTTATTATGCGTTCAACTGTTTGTTCTCCTATAAGGAATAACCCGGCAGGAATTTTCAGCCCAGTTCTAACTTTGCTGCAGACCTGAGAAAAAGCCTTATGTTATTTGAATTAAAGTGCTGTGTATATGTGGTTTCTACTGAATACTATATATTATTATCCGAACCTGAGTTTAAAAAAATGTTATAAATGTATTTGATGTATATAAATTATTTTCTAGGCGTATCTATACCACAACTATTAACAGATACTGGTTCAACAAGTTTAATTAATACAGGTGATTATATAAATACAGGTAAATATTTTACTTACTTATAATATAGTTGATGGGTTATTTCCACTCTAGGTTGACGGAATATTTGATAAAACAATTTGTTATAGCCTTGTGCTCAAATACACCACACTTCTACTCAATTTATTAGTTATCAGGATTGTCAAAACTGTAACAGGACTACAAATCCTTGTCACTCGATTACAGTTCCACCAACTGACAATGTTAAACTGACAACCAAACACCTCTAATAGTTATATTTAATTTAAAAAGCATTTTTGCGTTGTTTTTTAGCTGTATTAACAGACACAGTGATGTTAGCAGCGGAGACAAGTAGTGATCAATCTCTATCATCACCACCTAGTGGTACAACCAATCATATCATTACATCACTACCAACATCATCATCAAATAAAAAATCAGCGAAAACCAAAGTGACATCATCATCTACAGATTGTTAGTATATTTTATGTACTGTAAATTAATGTTACATTTGGCTTAATGTTCAAGGTGCAATGTCCTTGTTTGGAATCTGAGCAAGTGATTAAGATTTTTTTTAAGACTGGATATCCACTTATCAGGTTTATATCAGCAGGGCAGATTATGAGAGTCCAAAATTGAATACAAAAGCGTGCACAAAGAAAAACATCTTGATATTTAGAATTTGGAAGAGAGAACAAATAATTGATAGAAAATGATAATTACTACATTTGGCGTAGTGCCTTGGAATTCATTATGATTCAACCAAATCATTTAATGTGAAATTCCAGTAATTATGTATTGTTTTGTTATTACAGTACCGGCAGTGATAAGTCGAGTTGCTTTAGAGAATACAAGTGGTTCAGCTAGAACAGATTATCGTAGTAATCATATACTTAGTGACAGAGCCAGGAAACGCTGGCATTCTTTAAGGGGTGGTAACTCTGATACTACAGAGATTGAAACTCTACAAGGTTTGTAAACATATTTATTTAATGATATTTGGGTTGGCATTCTTGTTAATAGCATTAATCTTCATCCTTGTCAACTATTTCTTTGGTTATCGATATTTTCAGAGTGGCTGGGGTAGCTAAAAGGCTTATATGGTGAACAAGCCAGAATTCACATTGTTTGAAATGACGACAATATTCTTTTTCTATAGATAATACCTCTAATTTAACAATTTTACTATTCACCCATAGAAATGGTCTAGTCTTTTTAATCTTGTTTTAAAGAAGATCTAGTCTTGATTTGTTCTACAGTATCCCCTTTATCACAATAACATATATAGGCTATGTAACCATTACTTTGGGCATATCTTGTTTTGTTTGAGAATGACAGACATCCGAGAACATAGATTTTATCATGGATATTATATTTTATTTTTTGTGTTTTTAGAATCTTGTGATAAAATCAACAGTTTAGTTTTACCTACATTAAGTACAGATTTTACGTCAACAGAAATCTCAAATTCTCAAGGTTTATTGTTCCGTGATCCAGAGACAGGCATCACATATGTCCAAACACAGCTATTACAGGTATTTATCCTTTTAAATATTTTACTTAACATGATGTTGCTGTCCATTGTTAGAGAATAAAGTCATTTGTATTTCTCTTGCTCTTCAAAAATGTGAAATATTGGGGTAATTCTTGTGTGTTTAATGATTTTGTCTACAGTTTTTCTACTTAAATAAGCAAAAGTTTGTTTGTCATCCTTGGAAAGTTAAAGTTATCATCACATTATCGGTTTCCTCTAAAGGTTTAAGTTATCATCACATTGTTCTCTTCTAAAGGATAAAGTTATCATCACATTGTCTTCCTCTGAAGTTTAAAGTTATCATCTTATTGTTATCCTCTGAAGGTTAAAGTTATCATCTTATTGCTATCCTCCGAAGGTTAAAGTTATCATCTCATAGATGTTAAATATATAAGCCTGTTGATTTTCAACGATTCCAATATGAACAGTTAAAGTTGTTATCTGATTAGCGGTACATGATAGAAGCCTATCAAATTTTAACTATTTCTGATAATTACTTCATGGGTTATTGCCCTTGATCAGTTTTTAGTGTTCTGAAATGCTACCATTACCTACATGTACATGTGTCATTACCTGGAAACCTATGTTAATGCTGTTTTTAAACAAAATGTATTTGCAGGATGACCCACCTCACCCCGAACTTTACTCCGATAACCTGATGGATACAGATGATTCACTTTCTCTCCACGACAATGAGACATCAGTAAATCTTGGCATTAAACCAGAATATACAGGAACTACTATAAACCTACAAGATTTAGAATAAGCCTAGCATCATATAATGGCAAACTATTTATCATGACAGGAACAAATTAATGAAATAGGAATAAATCTAATCATCTCAGTGGAGTGACTGCCAGAAACAAATTTTATGTACTTGTATGAATTCTTTCAAAGCTAAAGGTAGAAAATGTAATTGCTGAATTTTGGTTGCTATGCTTTCTTGTATTGTTTGCCTTGGTAATCTTTATTGTTTTGTTTTTTCTAAAAATTGGATGTTCTGATGTATAACAATTTTAAAGCTATATGCCTCGGCCATTTCTTATGCTAGATATGTATGTCACATAACAATTTAAAGGTCTTTGAATACAGAAGCTAAATTTATACATTCTGGTCGCATTATGAATAGACTATTATATAAATCTTGAATATCAACTGATATATGATGTATTTTGTATTTATGTACATTTTATGGTTTGTTGTGAAATTGTATTATGTAAAATTATTACTGTGTGTAATATGACTTGATGTCATACTGTCATTTACAATATCATTGACATACAATTACTGGTATGATCAACTACAATATCATACACCTACCATTACTGGTATGATCAACTACAATATCATACACATAAAATTACTGGTATGATCAACTACAAATTTTATATTTGTGAGGATAACAATTATAAAAGGATTTGTACCTTACAATGTCTATGACATTTTGACAAATGCCATCAATTGCCAATATAATTGATCAAACTATTTCTATTTATTAAAATGTTATAAGCGATGTGATTTTGAAATCAATTTGCGACACATAATATCAACACATGTGTTGTATAGAAGAGTGTTCTTACTTTTCCAAGAACAGCTAATACCACTTTTATTTATTTGAGAAGTTCGTAAAAATTTATAGAGGTTTTTTTTCTATTAAATGGTATAAAATGCCTTGGTGTCTACCCTGGTCGTTAAGACAATAAAGGATATAAACCCAAAGCCTATCCCACAAATTTCTTAGTTCCCCCAAGCATGTCTTGTATATTGCAAACTAAAGAGTAATGACATCTGGTCAAGTTGTTTTATTAACATATAACATTAATCTGGTCAACTAGAGTTTATTATATTATCTGTGGGATTCTCTTATTATTTTTTGTGCATTTTAAGTGATTATTTTGATGTCTTCTCAATCACCGATTTAGTTGTTTCATATCTAGGTAATCATCTAACTTTATAACTGTTTTATGTTTTTTTCCTCCTCTTTATAAAAAAAGGTATTGAATCCCACAGACATTATATGTTTGGTTGACAGATTAATATTATAGTTTATATTAATTGTATAAAAAAACAGATCTAAATAAAATCTGTATTGTTATTGTTTATAATAAAAACATCTTTAAAATGGTATTGTTTATTTTGTATAAATTTAATGCACATATCTACATCCATTGTTGCATACAGAGGTGTTGGCCTGTTGGGGTCAACAGCAATGATCCAACCTACTCTTTGTAAAATTCTGTTGTCAAGGGTTCTTTTATGTATACACCAGGTGGATGTGCCATCTGAATGGCAAGGCATGCTACCCTGACTAATGCATGAATGAAATGTGGTTTAATGGGAACATTGAATGAAATTCCCAATGGTTCTTCTCGGCCAATGCTGGGATTCGAACCAGGGACATTACACACATCTTGCTTGATCCATTTGCAAATATGTTACATTGTCAATTCTTTTCAGTATTTACAAAGTTATGTTGAAATTTCATCAAACTATGGTGCAAATTGGATTGAATCCATGGTGGGATGTTATCTGGCGTTGGTATTTTATAATGTTAAATAATCTGAGTACATATTAGTGTGGATTTGAAAGTTTATCAAAAAAATACCAACGACCCATCGTTACTTTAAGTATGATCATTTTTTAAGTATGATCATTTTTAATGAAAGACAACAACTTTGTATAGTGTAATATATTTAATGAGTATGGATGATAACAACTGAGTTAGTATCCACTAAATGGTTTTTCTATAACAACTAAAATGGTGTAGAACTATTTTCTGATCAGGATGACTTCAGAATTTTTTTTTATCAAATTCCAAAATGATGATTTGCAATACACATAGCAAATTTATTCTACTCCAAGAAAACTGGGGATTTCAGTACAGTTCTTGATTATCAAGACATAAATGCAGAAAACTTCATCAGTAAACACACCAAATGGTTTTTGTTTCATGTAACTTCCCGAAGAACTTCCCTCTTGTTGCAGGATCATCCTCAAAAACATCATGCCTAAGAATGAGTGTGGTCACTTTTACATTCCCTGGATAAGTTTAAAGTGTTCTTACATCCAGTATTCAAGAATTTTTTAATATTCAGCTTGATACAACAAATCAATGTTTAACAATTGGTGTCACATTTTGTTCCACTGATTATTGGATCTCCAAGTCTACAATTTTGTAAAATCCAGTAGTTCATAATCATTATTTAACTTGAGGATCTGTTCCGTCCAACGATTTTAACAAACGAAATAAGGCTGCTGCTTCACGAATCCGACTGAATTCAATACAAAAAGCTTGCACTTCAATAAAAATATCCTGAAAAAAAGAACAAATTTCACTAAAAATAGACATTATAGAACCTTCTGGTACTTTATCTTCTGGCTTTACTAAATACAGACATAATAGAACCATAGATACTAGTACATAATCCTCCATGGCATTACAAAATATACACATAATGGAACCATAGATACTACTACATAATCCTCTGTGGTTTGTATAAAAGGTGCTAAACTGAATGTTCCAGAATTCAGTTTTCTCAATTCCATTAACGACAATTGAGTCACCACAAAATGACAAAGCATGTTGTAACTGTTTTGGGGACTGACTGCCATGACAGAACTAGATTCCTATTCACTCCACTACTGTAGTTCTGCCAGTTCTGAATTGACAGTTATAGCGTACCCATAATCTGCCATAATGTCAACCAACTAACCAGCTTGATGTTGGTTTAAAGCATATACATAACTATAACCGAAGACAATATATACCAAGATGACAGTAGTTTCAAGATAATATTTAGTCAAAATGTGAACAGATGTTCATAGTCTAATGACATCTATAAATAGTATAAAGGTATTATGTACCCTGATCTCCTCTACAGCATAAAGACAATACATACCCCAATATCTATAGTATAAAGACAATACGTACCCTGACGTCTATGGTTCTGTTTCGTATTAATGATTGTAGAAATACACAGACAAGACGTACAAGTCTATTCTGCATGTATTTATCTTGTATTGTTTCACATGTTGATATACAGTTAGATATATACAGATGTATAAACTCAGGTGGTAATTCAACTTGCTGTAATATATAATTATACAGAAACAATCACTCTGGTGCAAATGATACATAATCACTCTGGTGTGTATGATTGTGACACCAGGTTGAAACACAATCACTCTAGTTTGTATGAATGTGACACTAGGTAGAAACACAATCACACCAGTGTGTATGAATGTGACACCAGATAGAAACACAATCAATTTGGTCTGTATGAATATGACACCAGATAGAAACACAATCAATTTGGTCTGTATGAATGTGACATCGGGTAGAAGCCCAATCACACTGGTGTGTATCCGTGACACCATGCGATAAACAATTGTTAATATGAATGTAACACCAGGTAGAAACATAATCACTCTGGTGTGTATGATTGTGACATCAGGTTAAAACACATTCACTGTGACTGGTGTGTATGAATGTGACACCAGGTAGATGCATAATCACTCCTGTGTGTATGATTGTGACACCAGGTTGAAACACAATCACCGTGACTGGTGTGTATGAATGTGACACCACAATCACTTTGGTCTGTATGAATATTACATCAGGTAGAAGCCCAATCATTCCAGTGTGTATCTGTGACACCTTGAGATAAACAATCGTTAATATCTTACATTTCTACACCAAACCACTCTTTGTAATTAAAAATCGATTATATTGGGACCTGTAAGTTTAAAGCTTGATGATAATATAAAATATACCTACTGTTGTTAATCTGTTGACTACCTCCATAGAATGTAGAGACATCTCCATATTAACTAACACCGAGAAATACCTGGTAAAAACAATTTAAATTAAAATTAGATATATCATGAAATGCATATAGCCCGTTCTGTAATAGATCTCAAGCATCACCTCCAAAATATTCCTGTAGCAATGGTTATAACTAGTTTTTCGTGTTCTTTGTTAAAGTTTAGACAATACTTACTCTGTAATTTGATTAGATAACATGAGTTTTAACAGAGCTTCTATTGCAATCAAAGGATTCTTTTCTACTAAATCAGGTAACTGAAAAAAATAAAAACAATTTTTAAAAAACAACACATGTATATGCCCACATTTGCCACCACCCCTGCCTGTTCACATTTATTGTAAACAGGAGAGAGAGAGAGAGAAAGAGAGAGAGAGATGGGGTTTAACGTCCACTCAACACAAACTAGGTCATTTTGGGACTAACATATGGTTTAATTTTATATTAATAATTCGCTTGTGCGTAGGGGTCTTTAGCAGTGAGAGGAAACCAGAAGACCAAGAGAAAACTCACGAGGTTGGACGGGCGACCCTACTCCTTGTCACGTACAACCGGGGATTCGAAACCACGCCAGTAGACTCAATGACAGGCCTTATGATAGAGCGCACAGCTCGCACGTGCTAACCATTGGGCCATACATCCCCCCATTGTAAACACTCTGAGAGGTTAGTTTCTTTCAAACTTGTTAGCTTGTTTGGCTAGTCAATAGGAAGTACCATATCGAAATTCAGACTAGGCATGGTTATTGCCCCCGACTCTGAAAACATAAAGGCACCCTTAAAAAGTTGCTGGTGGGCATAAATATATTGCCTGGCAAAGCTGTTTTTTGTTCAGCCAAGGAAAAGATTTCTACTGAACAAGCTAATAATATTCCATGTCATAAACTTTGGGTGGTTAATATTTTGTTTATCATGGTTACCAAGAGATTGCTTTATCGACTTCACACAAATGGTTCAAGATATTTTTATCTTACCTTTGTAGGTGTTAATCCAATCTGATAAACTAATTTAGGATCTTTTTCAAGTTCAGCCAGTATAACCCGTTGTGTTGATGGCTGTAACTGGGTACGGAAAGCTTCTACCATCATTCTTCTAACCTTTGAGCCTGTAGAACTTGTTATACCCATTGTTGTATCCCACAATATGTCATAGTCTCCTACAGTAGGGTTCATCCACACCAACTAATGCAAGTTATAACAAAGTTAATAATATATTAATATAAAAAATATACTCTTCAAAAAAAGTAGGGGATATTCAGAAACAATACAAAACTGCGGAAATGCACAGCTGTTTTTATTAGAGGTAACCATTGTATGTTAATAACAGGCCAATTGCCTACACATGAACATAAACAGTTCATATGGGCGGCTTATCTGACGGCCCCATTTCACTCGCAAAGAGATATACTGTCAAAAGTGAAAATGGACGTTTTTGATTTTTGTCTTAATAATAATAATAATAATGTATATTTGTAATGCGCTTAATAATCCATCCATATACACATGCTCAAAGCGCAACATTTAAAGAGTCTCTCGCCATTAAAAACACACATAAACAATCTGTTTCTAATCTGGATAATAGAGTTTAAACAAATGAGTTTTTAGTTGTGACTTAAAGATTGTGAAAGTCTGAGATTCTTTAATGTTTACTGGTAACTGATTCCAAAGGCGAGGTGCAGCAGCACTGAAACTTTTATCACCAAATTGTTTTAGTTTTGTTTTGGGAACAGCAAGTATATTTTTGCCAAGCGACCTTAGCGCACGTTTGGGTTTATAGTTTGTCAAAAGTTCAGACAAATATAAGGGAGCAAGATTATTTTGACATTGATACACTAATGACAGAACTTTATACTGAATCTTAATAATGAGTAATTGCTCCACCAATCCTCAGACATTCAGCAATTCGTCGTGGCATGCTCTAATCAACCATCCAATCACGAATTGGGGCAATCTGACCCACTCCTCTTGCAGTGCCACGGCCAATTCTTGCAGTGTTGTCGGTTGACGACGTTAACGTCGACGAACACGTCTCCCAATCAAATTAAACGTAACACACTAAAGCAAAGATAGGCCAAACAGTAAATCTTATGCAGGAACCGATAGGAAAGCAAACATGGATATGATAAACCAGCAAGCGTCAGTTTTCATCAACCCTTCTTTGAAGTGTCAAATTTGACAATGAACCCCTCCCACGTGTATGGCGCTATTGTGTGTCGCACATGCAGCTCAATGGTTCTGTTGGGGCGACAAGTTCTTCATCTGTGAACATACTCTCAAAGCATGTCAAGTGTCCAAGACTATTTATCATATCACAACCTGTATAGGTATTTGTATTTCAATATCCCCTACTTTTTTTGAAGAGTATATATGTCAGGTGGGTGGTGCCATTATCGAGCTAATAATTTATTAAAGTAGCAATATTGTTATCAATTTATAAAAAAAAATACAGCATCCAGCCTTTGCACAGTGTAAAAACATACTATATTGTTGTCATCTATATTGTCTGTGATATCACCCAAGATGGATGTGGACATTATAAGATCACGTCAAGTGGTCAAACGTCTGCGATATCACCCTAGGAGGAAGTGGACATTAAGCCGGACATCAAGTCAAGTGGTCATCAACAAACTTAACAAATCTTACAAACCCTCACATTTCTTAAATATAATACAGAAATTGATAGGCTACCAAATGATAGACACACGGCACAGTGATCATGTGACAACCATAACTGAAATGGCTTTTAAATTAAACTCCATACGACTATGCCATATAGCATTCAATGTTAATAATGACAATATTTTAAAAATTAACACCTCTGTCAGCATGTGTATAAAATAAAAAATCAGAACGGTAAACACTATTTAAAACAAAAACTAGTATTGCAGGTTCATTCACCTAATTCCAACTGATGTCACGTGTCATCGGAGATTCAGCATTGGAGATTCATAATCTATTATTAATGATTGTTTCTCGGTGTATTCGTTGTTCTGTCCGAGGATTATATTCAACTAAGATTTAAATTTAAACATACATTATGCAAGACCAAAATCTGATTATTGCAAGTCTTAATTTAGGCTTCAGATGTTATAGAAATTATAAATTAGATCTTTATTTAAACAACAAGCCCAAAATCAACTCTGTAGACCCACGGATGGCTCGGCTACAGCTCGGATTTAAATAGGATTTGACTTATTAATTAATTCAAATATGGCGCATCCTGATGAGAATGCGTCAGTTAGATCGAGGCTAAATGATAGAGTGTACTTAGCGAGGCCGCTGTAGATGGTTTCCGCATGCCATTGAAAACTTTACTTGATAATCGAGATATGTAGGTGGAGTTAACGGCTGTCAATCAAACGATCGCCCAAGGTGAAAGCACATTTCACTACCATTTCTAGTCAAATATTACAACGATGATAACTATGTTCAGAATAAAGTAATTTGACTGAAATTTTAAATATATTCTTCTTTCATCATCTACTTTTGAACTGTTATAGCAAGAATGGCCAATTCTCTATAAAAATCTCCCATAATGTATCTTTAACTAACAACTGGTCAGTGAAACCATTAAATTATGATCCAATTATTATTTTAATATGTACCGGTACACCTGCAATTCATATGGAGAGTCGAAGGCGTGCGATAGATGCACAATCCATTTCGAGATCGTCTTTCTTTGATTGCCTATTTCCTCAAGGGAATTTACTGAACCTGTTATGAATAATCAGCAGCTTGTTTTGTTTTTTTACCGGATTATCAAAATTACCATTACTTGTGCTAATTACTCGAATTATGAACCACATGGCCGATTCTTACTAAGGTATGACTGTTATTGTAGCCGACAAGCAAGTTGACTGACTTCTGTATTAAGAAGTAATAATTAACCCGTTGTAATTTAGCAGAAAGTAGATTGATTTATGATACCATAGTGGCCAGTTCATTGTTTTACCAATCGGCTTGATTGAATTTCAGACGGCTAAAGCTGACAAAATACAGCCGATTAAGATCCCTGGTTCCAGCAACAAATTTGTTTGCTACTAAAGCATCTAGGTAATGTCATCTAGAATTTCTAGGCATACATTGCCTCATGCACCAAACTGGCCAACAACTTACTTCATCTTCTGCAATATGTAAAGGTGGTGCTAGTCGTATAAATTCTGGTCTCATAGAGTTTTCGACAGGAGGATTTGGACCAGTCAGTAATTTCTCGATAGTCTGTCTCTGAACATCGGGATTAATCATTCCTGGTTTATTAAACTGTTCAAAACTAAATACAAAATAAGACACATAAAATGAAACATATTGGAAAAATATTTTCAAAGTAACCAGAAAAATATTTTCAAAGTAACCAGAAAAATATTTTCAAAGTAACAGGGAAAATATCTTCAAACTAACAGCTAAAATAATTTATTCATTTTTTTGTTGAGAAAGTTTATAAAGTCAATACAATCAAATGCATATCTTAAGGTCAAAGTGTAGAGCAAGAAAACCACAGGTGACATCTACTTTAATACAAAAATAAAAAAAATGTTTGATTTGTATTCATTCCTTCTGTTTAAGTCATAAGACTCAGCTCGCTGAGTTGAATTGTTGGCGCTATATAAATCAATTATTATTATTATTATTAAATTAATGTGAACTATAAATTGATATATCAAATACGACCTATCACTTATCGCATTAATTTATTTATGCAGTTCTCTCTAAATACAAAATAAGACACATAAAATGAAACATATTGGAAAAATATTTTCAAAGTAACCGGAAAAATATTTTCAAAGTAACAGGGAAAATATCTTCAAACTAACAGCTAAAATAATTTATTCATTTTTTTGTTGAGAAAGTTTATAAAGTCAATACAATCAAATGCATATCTTAAGGTCAAAGTGTAGAGCAAGAAAACCACAGGTGACATCTACTTTAATACAAAAATATAAAAAATGTTTGATTTGTATTCATTCCTTCTGTTTAAGTCATAAGACTCAGCTGGCTGAGTTGAATTGTTGGCGCTATATAAATCAATTATTATTATTATTATTATTAAATTAGTGTGACCTATAAATTGATATATCAAATACGACCTATCAATTATCGCATTAATTTATTTATGCAGTTCTCTCCTGTTTCGGCGGGTGGATGGCCGAAAGGTTAGCGTGTGCGCGTTGTATCATAAGGTCTGTCATTTAGTCAACTGCCGTGAATTTGATTCCCCAGTTGTACGTGACAAGGAGTATAGTGTTGCCTTCCATCCTGGGTCCTCCAGTCTCCTCCCACAGCTAAAGACCCCTATTGTTGAAATAAAATTGAACTAGATGTTAGTCACAAAATGACAGAGTCGAGTGGACGTTAAACTCTCTCTTTTTCAATATGCACGCATGTTGACCGGTTTCAGGTCACATTAACATCTTGACAAATTAGTTAGTGGTTTTACAGTATTTTACCTGGATGGTTTATTATCAGGATCTGGTATAACACATGGCATGGCAGCTTTAGAAAAGTGAGATAACTCTGATTGTTTTTCTACTAGATTCACCTGTAGACCACTGATATCACACTATAAAAATAACAATAAAAGTTAAATACAGATTCAAAATTAAGGCCACACCAATTTGAATGAATGCTTCCACAGGATCACCTACTAAATCCTGTTTGCTACGTCTTGAGGAAAAACAATCAGATACATCGCTCTTCTCAAATGTTTTTAGCTCAAAAATGTTCAGTTTTTAAATTATTATTTTTTTTAATTTCTTTTTTATTTTGCTCAAGTAAGGCTATTGATCAAAACAATTGAATTGTGTGGCCATGCATATGTTTGGCCAAATATTATGCTAAAGAACTTTTAAAATGAACGATAACTCCAAACTCCCCATAATATCATTGAGGAAAACTAAACTGAAAATCCTTCAATGCTTTTTCAATTCTGAAGGTCAACAGTGTCCAATATATTCCCTTCCATTGTCCAATAAAAGTTGTTCAAAGTCAGCCTAGATCATATAACCTAGAGATAGTATAAATAAAATATATACATACTGGTTGTGAATTAACATCCATCTGTAATATCTGTGTACAGGTTTTCTTGAACATCTACAAAACAGACACAGATTTATATACCATCAATAATGTCTAAAAATATCTACCATTCAATGTCATGTCACAAATAATTTAAAACAAAACTAATGGAGTTTGATGCCTGCCATTTTTAGAAGCAAAATACATAAACAGTTATTTTTTCTATGCCAAGGAGGACTTTGTTTCTGCCTACTCTGCCTTTTATGGTTATGCCAATCTGTACACTGTAAAAATGCAAACCTTGGTTTTTCAGTCCATCCTATTACTAGGCAACATTTTAAGTGTCATCCCTGCAGTTGTTACCTATGACAATACAATCCTCAAGTGTTCAGTTCCCTAACTACTATACAACTGCTGCCCCAATACTAAACTTAGGCTGTCTGTCTACAGTTAGCTCCGCTGGAGAACAGGCACTAAGCTAGTTAACCAACATTTTAAGTTCTAAATCAATGATTTTAGTCAAAAACACTAAGTATACTTCGACAATTTTGTTAAGTAGTTTTGTCTTCCATTTAATAAGTTTATTTAGTCTTTGTGTTTATAGTACATCAAATTTGCTTGATCTTCTTCCACTGGATGATCTGGGTCTGATGCATACTCTTCTCTATTTCTGATTTAAAAGGTAGATACTGAAAGTTTTTCACTTACATCTTTGGTAGGACTAGTAATAAGTTGTGATAAAAATATGCGTTCAGGTGGAGAAATGGCTGGTATTGCCCAGTGTAGATCATACTGCCCAGCATCAGGTTTATCACTTGGTGGATTCTACAACATCCAAATAATAAAAAATAAATAATCATTTAAGGAAATGGCTTTGAAAACATTAGAATAAATATATATATAAAATGGGGTTATGGGGTTATAACCATACTACTTTAATGTACCGAAAGGGCTAATGGAGACATTATTCCCATAAATCTCATGTGGAGAAACCAAGATTCAAGAAGTTATTCTGATGAACTCCCTATCTCATTACACAAAAATCATACTGTTCGAAGTATGTTATAATAATGTCAGGTACTGACTAAATCTTGTGTTAAAATTCTCAAGTTTATAAATATTGCAGAAAGGCATGGACAACTTCCTTAGTGATTTTAATAACTTTATTAGACTTTATACAATTATTTCTCCTTTCAATTGTTGTAAGTAAATAATATCAAGTTGTTATACATACCAAAAGATGAATAAATACAGGTGCAAATGGATTAACTGAAACATTGTCTGTTTTATACATATCATACAAGAGATAAATTGCAGCTAGTTTCTGAGTGGGGTGGGGCAATAAATCACGGTTCTGTAACAATAACACCTGAAACATACAAAATATGATCAATATTACTGCGATCAATTAAATACTGAGTTTTGATTGACATGTGAATTGGAATCCATAATTCATAAGACAAATAATCATACAGTAATCGCTATCTTATTACTGTACTGTACTTAAAAAATCAATACTGGTAGTTATTATTAATAGTCGGGTTTCGAAATGATGATTTTAAATTTACCTGGCAAAATATCAGGCATTATTGAACTAGTATCTGACATTTTGAATATCGTATCCAGCATATATTAATAATATCAATAAAAAAAAGTACAGACAAAAGGACAAATCTGTGTCTGACATAATGACAGGCACTAGAGGGATTGTGTCTAACAATGCATGAATTTGCGCCTGACAATGTCTGTGAGAGGTGCCTTACTTCTTGGGGATAGTTTACTTAATACATGAATGTACATGTAGCCATACCAGGTGACATATCATATGTACTTACTATTGCTGATCCAACTTTGAAATGGTCTTGTTTTGTAAAATAATGGTGAAAACTGGTGGATAATGCTTCAAATGTTTGAGTCTGTGTGGCATCTTCAGATAGCACACTAAAAGAAGGAGATACATTATACATACATATAATACAAATGAAATAACAATTCCCTTTAGCAAGAGGGTGAGGGGACATATTTTTCATCCGTTACAAACTGCAATATGTGCTTCGTGTAATCTTCTTTTCTGTCTTTTATTTCTACTGACGATCAATGAACTAGCTTTGAATAGATTATGGAGCTACAACAAGGGGGTAAAGCTAATTTGTCATATTTCCGAAATACTCAGTTCCCAAATACGTGCACTTGGGAATTTGTTCATTGTGTTAAAGAGTATATAAACTACCCTTAAACAGCTTCTAACAAGGTACCAAACACAACTAGAAACAAAACAGATACATATGGTGGCATCTTTGTATGATAATTTCCTAAACAAACCCCACACCTAGGCAATATCGTACAAAAAAAAAAGAAAAAAAAATGTTGAACATGATTATTACAAAGCAGATTATACATCATCAAGCTAATATGTTGCAGTTTCACAGCGGTGGTCCGCCTCCTGAAATTTGCCTTATTTTGTCAATAAGTTTGGTACCGGTACCTAAAATCTTGTATTACCCAGTGAACACTCATGCAAGTGGACGTAAAAAATAATTTATAGTCCCCCCCTACTACAACAAATGTAGCAGTTCCTCACATTTCGTTTTTTTATTCTTTAAATGGTCTGTTTAGTGTTTAGTCAGGCTTTTTGTGAGGGGTGTATGGAATTCTGGGACTCACCTACTGAGCAGTTGAAAACAAAAGTTAATTATAAAGATAGGTTACCAGGCAACAAATCGTCTGAGTTGTCTGGTCCAAATATGGGTTGTCACATATTTTTTCTGCTGTCAGTAATGAAAGCATTTAGAAGACATTAAAAACTGATTTAGTGTAACAAACCAATATTCAATTATCAGAAATCATTAGAATTTGTTTGGCTTCTAGTTCTGCCCTACCCTAATTTGGTTTAATATAGCTAGGCTACGTTGAAGTCAATAAATGAATGATATGGTACATTTGTTTTTGTTTTTTTTGTTTTTTTTTTTTAATTTGCTCAATTGCTAAGAACTCTCAGGGATTATACTGGTCTGATATGTGATATTATAAGTCACAGTTGTCTATCACATGACTGTTCAAATAAAGAACTATCACAATACATGTCCTGCATTTTGGCCTACCGGTAGGCCGACCCCATTTAATTAAGGCATTTTCTTCTTTCGTTTTACAAAGAGAAAATAAACCAACAATATGCATTTCTTTACTCTACAAGCATGGTTTTTAACATTTTAGGTGTCTGTTTTGAGCAGAAATGTTTTACTAGAATTGTGAGAAATCAATCTCTTTGAAAAATTGTAATTTCGATAAGAAAACAGCGAAAATAATCACCTTAAAAGTGAAGCAAGTTCTTTCAAGGGGAGCGCCATTTTTAACGTCACGCGAGAAATTGTGAATAACAACAGTTTTGCTGTCGACTTAATTATGTCAGTTGTTTGTAGTGCTTATTCAAATATTTATTATTTAATAACAATGGAAATATCTAATGGACCCGATCGTTCGTGTTAGTCTAACGCTTCTAATGTGGTCATAATTAACGATTTATTTATGTGTTTACTATTGATCACGTGACCTAGGCGAGATTGAGATTTCTGAACTGAAGCCATCAAAATGTCGACGATTAAAACCGTCGGGGTTTTAGCGATAATTGTTGGATGTTTTGCCATTCTTTACCCAAGGTTTATGCATCCTATTGTTTTAAGGGCTTTCGGGATGCATAAAACTCATGAATCAGGAGAAGAAACGCCGTGTAAGTTTTGCATTTACAAGAGTTTTGGTTTTTGACAGTTGAGATCAGGAAAAGTCACTCCCACGAGCGAGATATTTAACGCCAATTCTGTCACAGTTTTAAATATTATATAATTTGTATCTGTTTTGTTAGAGTATGAGAAATTTATTATTAATATTTCAATATTGTGGTCAACACTTAAGTAAAATTTGTATAGGCCTATTGGATAGACTGTTCACAATTGATTAATGTCATGACTAAAAATATGGTACACTGTACTGTATATTCACAGTGTACAGTAAATGTAATAATATTATTATAATAATCTCTATAATTATATGACTGTTTTATTGTAGGCTACAGATATCATAAAATGTTAAACCGAAAAACACTTCTCAAGATGTTTTTAAAATTGTAGATAATGGATCCCTAATATGGTAGCTAAATGTTGTTAAAAAAAAACAAACTTGAGAATTGTCAAGCCATCATTTTGAATGATTTTAAGATACCAGTATTGCCAAATGTTACTAGCCAAATTCTATGGTCCAGATTCAGGCTTTAGAAAATTGTGAAATTTTCTATTGAACTGGTGAATATTCTGGTTTACATATAGGCTACCCGGTATTAGTGAATAACAGATGATTTTAATATTAATTTGTCTTCTGAAAAATACTGTTTTGACTAAGGAAAGGGAAGCATCCATGGTGAGGTTTGTTCTTAGAAATACCGGTACATTGTTATAGTAGAAATTTTATTACTTTCTCATATCTTTCAGTATATCCACCACATAAAATGGGTGGGGATCCAAGAGCTAGAGCCAATGCTCGACCAGAAGGGAGACAACATATGAGGGTAAGTATTGATAACAGTACAGACCATGATTTTTTCAGAACAGTGTTTGAAACAAACATTTTCCAAGCACAGGCATGCAGGACCTGTGTGACACATGGTCATGAGGGTCCTTCAAGTGATATGCAGGCCCAACCAATAATAATAATTATAGTGTAGAACGATCAGAGGAAAGGAAGTACATAAAAAAATAAAGCAGCTGCACATGGCATTTATAAGTATTAAATTGTCATCGTCAAATGACACATAAGGACTATGAGTTTAGTAATTTGCAAAAGAAAAAAAAAAGACACAAACGAATTCATGTGTCATTTCAATTTAATGGAAACAATTCTATTCATAGCTATATAATTTAGGGTTTTTATTATTAAACTACATAAACTTCAAACAGTTACAAAATAACCTTGGCGTGTGGCGATAACGTTGATAATTGATGCGATGGCATTGGCATAAACTCGCTTGGCCAGCCCTAGATTGTTAGCACAATAGCCTATGCCCAGTAACAAATCAGGCTGGTTACACGAGTCAATGTTGGCAAAACTACAGCTTCTGTCATGTCGATGACAAGTAAACAATAAATGTCAACGCTCGAATAAACTATTAGATACTCAGAGGTTTCGTTTCTATGACAGTTCTACCATTTCCAGAATGTTGACACTAATATGCGGGATAACAAGGCAAAGGCCCGGCGGACCCGAGTGAAATAGGCAAGCAGGAGTTCTCCGATAAATTAGTCGGCCATGGGCCTACGGACCGACGTTTGTGTCGAACACTGGTTCAGAAGTACACTTTCGACTCACGTGGGAATCATTCTTAATAAAGCCTGAACAATTATAACTTCCCTTTACATCCAATCACAGTTCATTGTAGATGGTGTTCAATTTTAGTTGTGATTTACTAACAGTGCTTGATTAGGCTTCATGGTTGATATTTCACTAAGTATTAATATCAGGCTCTGCTGTACAGTGAAAATAATGACAATATTTACTTCTTTTCTTATGTATATTTAGTGTCAAAACTAGCTGCATTAATTGAAAATACTTATTGCCCAGATGGTTATAGATTTATTTATTGGTGTCTTTGTGCTAGTAAATTACCTTAGATACTGGGACTAAGATACATCTTAACAATTGCCTATGGGAAAGGCTAATTTTAACAATGCCATTGCCACCTTTAGTCTCTGTGGCAAAGTTCCTTTAAATATCAGCTGTGAAATTGCCCTCACATTAAACTAACCTGTACATGGCAGTAGAAGAGCAGTCATCAGCTCATCTAGATGTCAGTGACAAGTATATTAACTATAGACTGTGAAGAATGTTCTCTAACAAAGTCTGTGAAAGGTCCCCCTTTCTTGTTATTGTATTATCAATAAATTTTCAATGTCATTTATTTTCAGCCAGGACCACCTCCTGGTTTAAGAGCTTCAGTGGACATGGAAAGAGAAAGAGCACAGCAGGGTGGTGGGCGTGGCATGATGGGTGTGGTCCTTCCGATGTATGCTGTAGGAATAGTTCTCTATCTTATTTATACATTAGTAAAGGTAAGCATCCTATACATGTACAAAAACTGTTCCGAATTGCTAGTATACACCATGGTGGCTCAGTGAGTATTACATTGGCTAACTAACCTGGAGGTCCTTTTTTGGATTCACGTGTTGGTCGGGAAAGTTCATTGTGATTTTCCAGTGTCGTTCCCTCTTGTGCATGTAGGTGGTGTAGGACAATGTATAGTTTTTCGGAAAGAACGGAAAACCAAGGTCCCATGTACACATTGGTGTGCATGTGATGTAAAAGAACCCTTGACAGTTGGAATTTCGAAATAGCACACTGCATAGTCTAGTCAGTGGAGAAAAGTAGGACATTAAATCCCATTTAATTTCCAGTCAGGTTTATCATTTGATAATGTATTTATTTACAGTCTGCTTCTAAATTTTTTGCCGATCTCATTCATGCATTTTTCGGACAATATATAATCCAAACCTGTCAATTAATTATTTTACCTGGGGCTGGCACTAATACATATAGGTCTTATGCAGAGGGTGTTGAATGTTGAAAAATGTTCAATTCATCAAATTATCTTTATGAATACTGAATAAAATTTAACCATTTTCGACCGATGTAGTTTGCAAGGGATTCAGAATCTCTCTAATGACGATCTGCCACTTTAAAGATACATTATGGGAGATTAGATAACGAGTTGGCAGTTCTCACTATAATAGTTAAAAACTAGACAATTGTAAAGGCAATTTGCTGAAAATTTCATTCAAATTGATCCACTATGAACCGAGAACTAAGCGGTTGAAATTTCCGACTAGCCTTGATCATCATTACTAAAGTCAGTACGATAAACAGCATAGTCTTGATTATCCATTTATGCAGTAAATCGGCTCATAATCCACTACAGATCGCAGGCTAGCGATGCCATCTAGATAGGTTGATTAATGTCTTATTAATAGTTTAGATATAATTTCAGGCCTAAAGAAAGACTTGCAGTAGGCAGATTTAGCTCTTGCATAATATATGTTTAAATATGAATATATGTAATATGACTGTTACAACCATAGCTAAGTATGAACAGTGAGGAGCCTTATAATCTCTTTGATTTATTTTTCAGGTGTTCAATAAAAGATCTGAAGAAGAATCGGGGTCTGAAAATGCATTGGCTGATTATCTTCAAAAGGAAACACCAACATTTGATGCAACAAATCCACATGACTGCAATGCAAGTATGGAAGAATTCATGAAACGCCAGAAAAATAATGAATTAGAAAAACTCCTTGTTAAAGCTGATGATAAAAATATCAGTGAGTTGACATCCAGGTGGATTGTCTTTAATCCACCGAGTCTTTTACAGTAACCCTATTTGGTGTTGTGTATTTGTTTTATCATTTAAATCTTTTAACTGTCTTGTTTACTGAAATTTCTGTTACTTTATATCCTCATCTCTACTAGCGATTGAGCTCAGTCTCACCATTATTTACGATTATGACAAGGAGTTGTATGTGCCCACCAAACCCAATGGGGTTTCTTGTTTCATTACTCAGCCTAAGAAATGAAATGGGGTTTTACATCCTCCTGTTCTGCACCAATGGGGCTAATGAAGACAGGCATATGCCATGCAGTGTGCTATGATGGAAATTTTGCTAGGACAGCAGTGCTATGGGCTACCCTTATTTCATATTCCAATTCCCAAAGCTTCTTTTATCTGCACACCGACATGTACACAGGACCTTGTTTTTTGTCCCATCCAAATAACTATACACTGTTTGTTGCTAGGCACTTCATTCTGCATCTATGGGCTACCCTTATTTCACATTCTAACTGCCAATGCTTCTTTTATGTGCATGCCAACATATACACAGGACCTTGTTTTTTGTCCCATCCAAACAACTATACACTGTTCGTTGCTAGGCACTTCATTCTACACCATTGACACCACTCTAGAAAATCCTGATGTACTATATCGACCAACTCCGGAATCGAACCCTGGACCTTCTGATTAGGGCGCCAGCTCTTCACAAACTGAGCCAACGCACTGCTCTAGAATTCTGTGCATGAAAATATACTACCGTATAACATGTAATTAATGTGAGGGAGAAACCCTGTATTAAATGTAATCTGTTACCATTCACATTAATTTCAATTCACATTTTTGTTTTCTTTACATATATATGGAGTAGTAACACTCACTACAACTTGGGTATCATTGTGCTGTATTAGTAGGAGTTTCTGTATTTCATGTTTAGTTTCAAACCATTGTTGGAAAACTATTCAAATTCGTTGAGAACCATAGAAAACAGCACAACTAAATGATGCCTGAGTTGTAGTGACTTTAGATGCAGCAAAGTAGGGCGTTAAACCCCATTTCATTTCATTTCAGTTATACTTTAAACATACATTATGCAAGAGCTAAATCTGTCTATTACAGGTCTTTCTTTAGGCCTGAAATGTTATCTAAAATATTAATTAGAAATTAATTAACCTATCCAGACCATAATCAACTCTAGTCTTATTGTTTAATATTACCTCCCCTACAAACACTCCTACCCACTAAAACAATAACCAAATGTATCATGATCAAGTATGTGTTTAGGGTAATGACAATTATCAATCTGCTTTCTATATCCTCACTTAACTGTTTTGAGTCTGAGGGTCTGAAATTGTAACAAAATTGGTTTCCCTAAAAAAATCAATAAATATTTCTATTTCATACAGTACCAACATGTTCATATTTTGTAAGAACAGATTTCAAGTTGTGAACAAGTTCCTAAGTTGTGTTATTGTTCTTATTATTCTGTGTCAAACAAAGTTAAGAAAGGGATCTTGATTTGGACTGCGTCAGTCCTTTTTTGTCGGTTTTGCTTCTGGAGCAGTTTATGTTTATCAAACTTTGTACACCCAATAACCTTTTTGCTACTTGAATATTCCTCAAATTAAATTAATTTTGTGTTACTATAGAAACATATTTTACATAACTTTCAATATGGATGTGTGCAGGATATTTATAACTGAGTCTTCTTGTTCATTTCTGCAAATTAGAAAAAATAATCACAATTTCAAAGTAGGTTAATTTCCAAAACAATATGTGTTCTAAACAATCTGTCAAATAATCTTTTAATATTTTTATATTTATAGCAAGTGTTGAAATGAAAGCTTTACAGAAACGACTAGAGGAGACAGAAGCTCAAATGTCCAGTATTTTACGAGCGATGCAAGCCGTTTCTACAAAGGTTGATGATGTAGCAGCTTCTGACCCGGATTTACAAGATGCGATGAAGGAATCAGCCCAAGAAGCAGCCAAATGTACAGCTGAAAAAACAGATAAAACATTGGATGGAAATAATGTTGAAACATCGGATGAAAAATCTGACAAATCATCACAAGAATCCCCTAGTCCAGATGTCAACAATGATGTAAGTTATAATTAACTCAGTGTCTCAATGAGGCGCTGGCTTACTAACCAAGCCCCGAGTTCACAAAGCATTCTCAGACTTAAGTTAAAAATTTACTGAAAATTGTTCGCCTTATTTTAACTAAAATATAGCATAGCCCTTTATAAAACTTTTGTTGTTTTAATGTATCGGATAAGAAACTATGTGAAATGTTTTGTGTTTCTGAATCAAAGATATGTCTTATAAACAGTGATTGAAAGTTGACTGACTTGCTCTCTTAAATGCTCTTAAAATTGTCCAACAGTGGACCTTGAAAAAGTCACCTACTGATGAACAATGAATATGGGGATATTGCTCTCTCTCAAAATTTTGAGATGCTGTATGCCTGGCATTATTATTTATTGCTTGTTTCTGGTTATTTTATATAGCTACAGAATTTTCATTTAATGTTATTAGATTTAAAACTTAATACACAAAATACTATATAAATAATATTTTTCATTTCTGCCTTAGCGGTCCCTCAACCATTGCATAGTTTAGAGTCATACGGCATTGTTTCTGTCCAAAGCTTGTCACAACAAGGAGTAAGGTTGTCTGCATAACATTGTGGGTTTTCTTATATGTTAGTCCCAAAATGACCTAGCTTGTGTTGAGTCTTATAGCAACTTGTGAAAACATTTTACTAAACCTTTCTTTTTGATTACAGGGTGAAAGAGGTGCCATATTCTCTGATTCCAGTCCTGATCTCGCTAGTTTTGAAATTGTTGATAGAAAAAAGGGAAGTCATAGCGACACTTCCAATAATACAGAAGACGACATCTCACAGTCGTTATGTTCTGAAGTCGAAAATATTGGAGCAGGAGATTTACCCGAGTCTGAAAGCAAAATGAGGGAGTCAGAATCTACCGAATCATGTAGCAGTGAAAAAGACAATAACATGGTGGCTCCAGAATCAGAACAAGGGGAGGTAACTGATACAAGCAATGAACAAGCTGAAGGAACTACCGAAGAAATATTGCCTGAAGCAAAAACAGAGGAGGTGAATTCAAGTCTGCGACATCGTAAAACAGAAACAAGTCCTTAGTAAAAATGTGATAATCCAAACAAAGTGATGAAATGAACTCCAAGATCAGTTGTAATGTCAATCAGTTTATATTTCGTCTTTACTCAAACAATCAAAATAAAAATAGTTGGTCAATTTTCACTCAATTATTCTGCACACAATGTGGCTTGTCTACTGTTTATATTTATTTTTCGTGTGAAAACTTGTCAGTGTTTTTTTTTATCAGTTCAATTTCATTGTGACTGGGGCAATCTTCAACATTAATACCGCAATAAACAAGTGATCTTAGGTCAGCTATTACCTAAGACCTATTTTAGGAAATCTGTCCACTTGATATGAATGGTATTGTGTTTTTAATGTTTATTTTAATTTGTTCTGTTATTTGTGCAATAATTGATCATTCTTATGTTTTATGGACATACCCGACCGCTTTATTTAGTTTTTGATGCCTACATACATTGATGTATATCGCGGTCCGTCCACAGTGATTCTGAAGGATTTTTTTTTTTAATACTAGCAGGAATTGTCCACAGATGAAGCTTATCTCCTCCTTCCCAGTTGCTCCCTGGTTATTTATGTTTAGATTCATGAGACTCTCTATGGAATTTTTAAATTGTTCAAGGATGAATAGGTCTACTATTGAAGTACAGATCTTTTCCATTTCTAATTTGAATTTGGGGGTTTTATACCTACTCATATTCCTGAAATTCTCCATGGATTGTTTGAAACATGGTGGCATTGTTTAAAACCTGGTGGTATAGTTTATTGAGGCTTAAGGTTCACAACACAAATTTTGAACATTATTTTGCCATCAGCATTTTGATGTTTAAAGCATTTGAACACAAAACATGACACATATTTCAATGGAACATTTAAAAAAGGTAGTAGCATGGGATTTTTTTTTTCTATCACAGATTCTGGAGTTATCTTCTTAATTACATTCAAACTTGTGTTACACTACTTAATTGTGATTATTCATCAAAGATAAGCTTCTGTGTAGACTGAAAACCTCTTGACTAGGACTTTTGTGTTTGATTCAAGCGTTTTTAGTCATATAGAATAATTTTTAATTCATAATGATATAATAAGGTGTCTAGGAATCTGGTATCAAAATCCAGATCTACTGTATGTTACAAGAATCTCACTATATTTATGCATGAATATTTTACCTATGTATCTGTAAATAAGAGTGTTTGTCATTTATTTATTTATTGTTTATTTTAATTTGTAATTTATTTATTAGTATATTTATGTAATTTAAATGATGCTCAGAAACAACTCTGTCTCGTGTATGTTTTTTTTTTTTTTTAAACTTTTTTGTTTACATGTGTCTTATGAATTCCCAAAGTTTGTTGTATTTAGTACAAGTGTGTTTTATCTTTTTTTACATATCTTATAGTATTAGCATTGCAGTATGTGAACAACCAATTAAAGGCACTGATTGTCATTTACATTTTTCAGACACTATCTAATAATATTTCGGAACATTTCCGTAGAATGACCAAATAATCCAACCAAGTACTGGCCTTCTTGAAAGTAGGTATTTTTCACCAGCGAAATTCCACTAAAGCGGTGGACACACTAGCCGAATGGGTGGACACACTAGCCGAATGCTTCGCCCGATTCAACCTGTCGATTGCATCACCTTTCACGTCACATGATTAAACATGGCGGCGTCTATGTCTTCAATCTATCATGTGACCTCTCGATATGAGTGGTGATTGGCTAATGAATTCTATATTCGGCCGAATGCTTCGGCGAAGCGGACACACCAGGCGAATATAATTCGGCCGAATATATCAAACCTGTTTGATTCGGGCGAATCATTCGGCCGAATAGAAATTTCGACGCCGATTGATTCGGCCGAATCATTCGGCTAGTGTGTCCACCACTTTAGGTTTGATGAACTCATTGAAAACAGCTATAAGCTATACTGTGTATAGCTCTTAATTAATCTTAAAATATCTATATTTCACTGTTCTGCTTAGAACACCTAATTTTGACACCACCTTTTGATCCGTATAGTCAGTCAGATCACAGCATATATAAAAACAAAATCATTGTTTTGTACCGACCGGCCATGATCTTCAAAGGAATAATGCCTATTTAAGTAGATTTAGCCATGATGGTTTTGATCTTAGCCATATCAAATGTACAGAAGATTTTTTTTTAATAATATCAGATTGTATTCAGATAGTTTATATAGAGGTTGAATTATAGGATACTCTTGTTATTTCAGTGATAAAAAAATATAGAGTATCTAACTTATAACTAGTTGAATTTTACGTATTGTATGAACATTATAATTTATGGAATTGTATTCATAATTTATGGAATTGTATTCATAATTTATGGAATTGTATTCATAATTTATGGAATTGTATTCATAATCTATTAATGTTATTGAATTTTATTCATAATTTATTGAATTGTATTCTTAATTTATTAAATTGTATTCTTAATTTATTGAATTGTATTCATAATTTATTGAATTGTGTTCATAATGTTAATGAACTGTTTTCATAATTTATTCTATTTTTTAATTCAGTTCATTAGGGTTCATACAGTTTTGAAAAGTCAGTTTTTGGGGGTTTTTTTTAAATACATATATTATAACACAAATGTCAATAAGGAAATCACCTCAGTAATCTCTTTAAGGATGTAGAAAACCAGATAAATATTTTCAACAATACTTTTTAATGTGTATGACCCACATATCTATATTTACAGCGCATCCTGCAACTTATTAACAATGTTCAAATTTACCATATTAAAACACTGTGAGGTATAACTTTCTTAGACTTTTCCTGTGTGGTTTCCCCTTGTCAGTGGTGCCGGGTGGAGGAACAAGCAAGTACAGTGTCTAGTCATTTGGATGGGACAAAAAAAAAACATTGTCCTGTGTACACTGTGACGTTTAAATAAAAGAAACCTTGACAGTTGGTTTTTGAAATAACAGTAGGCTGTAGCTCCGTTGTTAGGGAAAAATTTCACTCACAGCACAATGCATGGCTTATGCCTATCTTCATTAGCCCTGTCAATACAAAAAGGTAGGATGTTTAACCACATTTAATTTGAGGCATAACTGTATGAACCCCATTTTATGTTTGGATCTCTTGACTCTTGTTTATATGAATTACAGGTTTTAAATCCTGTTATATGTTGAGTAATAAATACACTTTTCAAGCAATTATTTCATCAGCTATGTTTTCTAAAAAATACTGGAGGTAAACCAATCAAGGCTTATCAGGAACTTATCCTTAGCCCTATAGATGATACAGATATCTGATACTGACCGTTGAAGAGAGATTGAGAGAGAGATGGGTTTTAATGTCCTTGCAATACAAACTAGGTCATTTCGGGACTAACACATGGTTCAACCTTATTTCTATAATTCGCTTGCGCGTAGGGGTCTTTAGCAGTGGGAGGATACTGAAGGACCCTGAAAAACCCATGAAGTTTGACAGACGACCCTACTCCTGGTCACGTACAATCAGGGAATCGAAACCATGGCAGTTGACTCAATGACAGACCTAATGATACAACGCGCATGCGCTAACCATTCAACCTCTCACCATTGTTATTGAACCCTTCACAGTCAGAATTCAAAGGGGAGCATATTCGGGTTATTTTCCGTCACACTCGCACAAATGCAATTTGTATATCAGTATGGTAGTTATTTGGCACAAACATATACAGCAAAATACAAAGAATTGTATGCCATATAAAAGTCATTTATTTATGGTCAAATAAAATGTATAGAACTAATTTGGGAGGCCCTTTAATATTGGGGACCCTGGCTTCAGCTCAGTCAATGTAATACTTAGGGTCTATATACTGTAGCGGTTACCTAAGTTCTGTAAAAGGTGCTCTTGTTAAAGGGACAATAACACTCTTGCTGACTTGAAAGCTCCAGAAAATAAATAATATCTCTATCTAAGTACTAGATGTTTAAGTGTCCTACCTGTTGTGTAAATTATCCATTACATCCTATTTTACTTGTCCAAAGTGTTCGAAAATATTTTAAAATCGAATTTTCATTTGAAAAGGTTTACGTTAGACGTTTCAAACCATTATGTTGAATTTTTCCAAATTTTTAAATAAGGTGTGTTAAGATGAAATTTGTATCGTCAATTAATTGGAATATTGTAACAACAAGAGTGGTATTGAGCCTTTAATGTATTGAAGTCAAGTCGTTAGCTAGTACCAGTGCATGCTTCCCGCAGTTTTTTCTTTGATTAGAGCTATTCCCACTGGGATTTCTCGGGCCATTGCTTCAGGAATATAGTACCAGTGACATTTCTGGTAGATTAAAATCTGGCAATGACATATACTGCAGTCTGCTAATCCAAATATGGCCACCCCATGCGTTAGAAACGTGGTTAGCCGCCCTCCTGGATGCCCATATAAGTACACTGTGTTAAAATCCAGAATAGCGTCTGTGCAGCTGACCAATCCGATAAAGGAGGTACGTGATCAATTTCCCGGAGCTCAATACATAACTCATGCACGTGTCCTCTCTATATATAATAAGAGCGGGGTTAACTTTCCCGTCAGGCATCATTGATCGGGGTTAACTTTCCTTTCAGACATTATAAAGCGGTCCGAGGTGGGGGGGGGGGGGGTCACAGCCTTCTCGACTGAGAGGCTAGGATACACCGCCACAAAACGCAAGCTAGGGGATAGAGAACTTATATGTAGCTTATATTTAATGTCATACCTGTGTGTGTAGTTTAATCTATATAACCTGTGTATTATGGATGTTGTATTCGATATATAAACTATAGTTAACGTAAAAAGTGTCCCAGAGTTAATTGATCATATTATGCACAACGTGAAGTCGAAGAAAGTCCTGGCTGGATAAGTGTCACCCTAGTGTCACGGGCCGTATACACAAGTTGGAAGTAATTCATAATTCATCTATTTAACGACTTCGTAGTGTCACATCAATACCCTCCTTATTCCCGCCCGGCTTACAGTAGATAGATATGACCCAGTGTCATCTCCTCATGGAATTATTTTTGTAAAAACCACACACCCATATATTTTAAAAAGATTAAAAGAGACAACATCTACCGGAAAGAAATCAAAGAAAATATGGAATAGCTTAATGTTTTGTGTGTACCAAACGTGCGCCTATCCTAAACCTTATCTGTACAAATCTAACCCACCCGTTCGTTTAAATCCATTGACAGTGTGCATATTTGTGAAAAATCCACCACCTTTATAATTTATATGTAATTTATTTGTTTGGGATATTATACAAATATCGCTTATTACTGAGAGACGTTTCGACTATTTGCTTGATAATGAGAAAGACTACAGAAACCTTGTCAAAACACCTCTCAACAATTCCATAGAATTATTGTAACCTGTGTATTTCCAGCTCAATTTGATATCATAATGGACTGAGTTGTATATAAATCTCCACAACCGTTACTTTGGCCAGTATGGTCCTCCGTACAATTAAGTCTGTCGCGCTTTACCATTTCGCAAAAACGCCAAGAAAAAACCCATTGTATAAATGTCGAACCTTGCCATTCGTATTATTTATTCACCGAACTGTACATATAGGTTAAAACAACATTATAATATAAAGGGCGTTTAATCCTTCAAACGGTGAGTATCTAGTAGTCGTTCGAGTTTTATTTAATTAGTGTCTAGTGTGACTCAGTTGAACAGTAGACGACGACGAATAGGCCTACCGGTCTGTCAATAGCCAGATATTAATCATGACCCAAACACGTTCATGATCTAGGTAAGCAGCTGTTTTATAATTTATCACTATTTATTTATCAATTTAAATACATGTATATGAATAACAATCACAGGTTTATATACTAAGTTTCGACGATGGCTCGGTCGTCTTTATTAAACAAGAGAAACGAAGAAGAGAAGAAGAGAAATGGGGTTTAACGTCCACTCGACACAAACTAGGTCATTTCGGGACTAACATATGGTTCAATTTTATTTCCATAATTCGGTCTTTAGCAATGGGAGGAAACTGGAGGACCAGGTGAAAACCCACGAGGTTGGACAGGCGACCCTACTCCTTGTCACGTACAACCGGGGAATCGAAACCCCACCAGTTGACTCAATGACAGACTTTATGATATAGCGCGCACGTGCTAACCGTTCAGCCATCCAACCTCCCCAAGAGAAACGAAACGTCGCTAGTATATAAAATAGTAATTGTTATAAATGTGTTGTATTACTAGAATGTCACTTAAAGTAGTATTTCACCATACTCATTTGCATGGGGGATTGGGCAAAATCATTATTCCAAGTTTTGAGGGGGATCTAAAACGGTTTGAATTCAACTGCTTCTCTGTCAGAATGTATCACCATTATTATAGTATTTAACATTTTGGAAAGATGTTTGTATATTTTCTAGAGGTCCGTGGGATTGGCTAATAAAAGGTACTTTTTGAATTTAATTGAACACGCATTATGCAGGAGCTAAATTTGTCTATTGCAGGTCTTTCTTTCGGCCTGAAATATTATCTAAATTATTAATTAGACATTAATTAACTTACCGAGACCATAACCAACTCTTCATGCCATCGGATGCCCGTGATATTTAGTGGATTCAAATTCAAATACGATTTATACTGGATGTGGTTACCATAAAACTGATAATCGAGACATCGTTTATTATCGTAACAACGGTATTAATGACAATCGAGGTTAGCCTATAATTGGCCCCGATTGAATTAATTTGACTGAAATTTTCAAAATATTCTTTTTTCATTATCTATTTTTTAAAAAAAAACTATTATAGCGAGAACTGTCAGCCCTTTATCTAATCTTACCTAATGCCGCTTTAATGTCTTAGCAAAAAGTATATCTCGAGTATGCAATGTACGGTAATGGCGAATTTCATAGTTCTTATTCTAGTTTTAAAATGTGTCTCGTAAACATTGTAAGCTACATTTTATACTGGGGTTATTTGAAGACAAACGTATTCTAGCCTTTTCAATCTTCTTGTTTTACAACTTGGTGCAGGAAAACATTTTGTCACGGGAGCAAGTGAAATATTGCTAATTTGAATAATCTGATGAAAACGTTATTTTTCGAAAACTGGAATTTCGGAGGACTAGTAACGGATAGCACCACAAATTGGTTGTTTGGTTGCTCTCTCTCTCTCTCTCTCCCTCTCTCTCTCTCTCTCTCTCTCACCTCCCACACAGATATCGGCACTCACATTCAACAACATTGTGTTAAAATCAATAGAGAACTCAGTGAATTCAACAACTTTTTTTTAGGACGGCTGAATGGTTCTAGTAGCGAACATATCCATTATGATTTATATATAATTGAACGCAGGTTTACTAGTTCTATACCTATTGTTAAAATCAAATGCGTAGCTATATTCATCTGAATGGATATTTGAATAACTGACATCAATTAGAAAAGATAATGAATTTATATGATTTATTTCACGTGAGAACGTGTAGTTATTATAATAAACTTCAATACACTCGTCATATAAATAGTACGGCTTGCCCACTGATCCATTCACTTGAATTGATATTTATTTTGTTTATTACTTGCAATGACTATGCATAGTTTGTCTATTCCGCAGGTTTGTCTTGTCGGTTTTGTTTTGCGTGTAGTATGTTCTCTTCCATTGTTGGCATTGTTACTGTTTGTTTTTGCTCTTATGACCGACACGTACTGAAATTTAAGGGGCGCGAGCAAAACTAACCGGATGTTACCAGCATGACACTGTATATTTACTTCTTTGGCAGTCTTTTTATAACAATTATTGTTTTTATAGGGGCATTATCTAAGATTAGATCAAGAGTAGGCAGGTCTCACCACAATAGTTAAAAACTGGATAGTGCAAAGGGAATATGCTGAAAATTTCAGTCAATCTGAACCGAGATATTAGCGATTGATCATCATTACTAAAGTCGGTACGATATAAAACATAGTCTCGATTATCCATTTTTGGATTGAATCATTGCGGAGCAGATCGGATTTAAATACAAAGAAAATCCGACACATAAGATGGCATCGAGAGTCGATTAAGGTCTTTTCATGTTAATAAATGTCTAATTAATAGTTTATATAACATTTCAGGCTTAAAGAAAGACCCGCCATAGGCAGATTTAGCTCTTGCATAATCTATGCTAAATGTTAGGGCGACATGTATGTATAAACTGGTTGAGTTGTGGTGAAGTAACCAAAGGGGGGGGGGGGCAAACTCAACATCCCCACTCTCTACTCTCTCCGTTTATGCCCTTAGAAATAATGGACCCGGTAGTTGGGGCACTGCAGATTAAACCGATATGGTGTTTTTTCGCAACCAGCAACTAAGTCTGACTAACCACTGTTATCTTTTTCAATTCGATGAATTGTTCCAAACAGACGAAATTAATTACAAAATGCTACACTTGTGTGGTTATCTAGGAAGTTAGGTTCCAAGTCCGGATTCGATCTCGAATATTACCAAACACCTAGCTTTATAGCACCATGTTAGTTATCTCATGGACCTTATAAGATCCATGGTTATCTCTAGGATTCCCTGTACGATTCAGTAATGTTCTAACCACCATACAATGGACTTAACATTTTGACTAAAGTAACTTACGGGGTCAATCCTGGGTTAGAAACCTTTGGGAATCCGCCCGACGAATGGACCTATCCCCACCCCACCTTGTTATTATTGTTCTAATATGTATATTGGCTGCTAACACAAGGGATCGGCATACGATCTGTTTGTGTACACCATATTCGGTTTAATTTGTAATCGCACAACTGCCGTCTGAAAGACATTCCATATGAGTGATATAAGAATCATTGTAGAAACGTAGCTCCGATTAAATACAGTAATTGTTATCCATAGAACTCTTGTGTTTATTTCAATGTGTTCAATCTAAATGCCATTCAAACAGTATAAAATAGAGCCTTATGTTATGAATATAGCTTTATATAGGTATGGTTAGAGAGTTGTTTGATGTAACTAGATGTTTATGAAAGTTATTATACTTTATACCCAGTAATCTTATTTCATGTTTGAATTGTAAAACCAGTTTAACTTGATTAGAAGATGTCAGTACAGGTTTTAAAATATGTAAGAGATTAGTAATCAGTCATGCAGTTAATGGCTTCAGTTCTCTTTGATGGATATCAAACGACTGCTTTAGAAATGGAAATTTTTTAAACACGGCTGTGTTTTACAAGCCCTTTTTTATTTTTTAAATTTAATATAATATGCAGGGGGTGGTGGGCGGTGGGGGTGGGGGCTTCATTAGGAAAGTTTGAAAACTTCCCAGTGAATTTCGCGATTTGGGGTATGTCTTGGATAAGGAAACAAATCAACAGAAATGATTGATCGATCAGAAATGGGGAACATTGGATGTTGCTAACTTTGAATGAAAAGTACTTAACGTTAATTTTCGAATTTTTGTACAGTTGTACTGTTAGAGGTTCAGTACCTTGTCAGATTAAACCAAACTGACACTTTTATTTTACTGTGAATCAAAGCTAACAGTGTTCTTTAAATACATTCAGCTTAACAAGTTTTATTTGTTTATTTGTAAACAGCTTAAGACAGGTTGTAAAACGGCAGGAGTGACCACAAGTGTTTTATGAATCATTGACATTCTTTTGAACATCGTGATATAGCAAGTGTACCGTTATATTAACATCTTATTCAAATTGTTAGTGCTACATATATATATAGTGTATGGGGAATATTTACATGGCATTTTCAAACGTAGGCCCATGGCTTGTGCTGTAGAGGTAAGTGACATGTTGATTTGTTGATACATTTTCTGTTGTTTTGGTTTTTTTTTTTAATTTCACTGATATTTTAGATCAAATTTCATCTGACATTGTCTGTATAGTTTGTCTTGTCCGCAGGTTTGTCTTAACGGCTTTGTTTGTGCTTATTGTGGTCCTCCTGCACTTACTATTACTTACTTCAGAATTTGTTTTATATCATTACTCCAAGAGAAAACGTTTCATTTTAACGACAGCATCACGTACGTTTGATCATAATTACCTTCCCAATACACACGCATTGTATGACCGTTAGTGTTTGTTCTGCTTATGTTTTAATGGGCAGTTGTCCATCATTTTCCGTTGGAATGGAAAATATAAAGTCCGGTGTTAAGGGTATCCTACTCAGATAGGTTAGTTTGTTATTGTAACTATATTAAAGGCATGATAGGCGGTTAAAGAGTTTTGCCAGGGCAGCGGCACAGTCTACATTACCTATGGCCCTAGATCGAAATTTATGTTTCTATATTAGAGGCTTATAATTTCGTATGACACTTATTGGTCATACAAAAATGGAGATAGAAATTAATTCTATGTACAAAGTACAGAAACTAAATACTTATATATTGAAACAATTTTTGAAATACTGTTCTCTTTTGACTGGACATGATATTTATTAACTAAAATGATTTAATGCAATTCATCTAGTGCGAACCTTCTGACATAATCACGTGTAAAGGTGCAATAATATTCTGTCCAGGAAAAAATCCCCGCATAGTAAACTGTATGGCGCAATCGAACGTCTTCATTATTAGCAGGATGTTAAACCCATTTCATATATATCAATGTTTAAAATCTGGTTTCTAAGTCAATATAGAAGTGAACTGTTATTTTGATACCCTTATACCTAATAACTCAGCTGAAGCTATGTAATATGACGTCATGATGCTAATAAAAGCTTCGATCAATATGGCATACGTTTCTCTCTGCCGTCTGGGCAAATAGATCATATTTCTAATTTAATATTATTTTTCAGCATCCAGGTTAGGTGTATTTAAAGTTAATAAAGTACGGTGTAATAGGAGAAAAATTGAGAGGACAATTAAGACATCTATTTTCTGGTTTATATTAAATAATAGAAGTACGATGTAATGGGGGGGGGGGAATTGAGAGGACAATTAAGACATCCATTTTGTGGTTTATATATTAAATGATGTCTTGCAGCACTTGGTATTTGGTGTCAGGGTGTGAGGACAAAAGGGTGCGGTTCAAGATTGTATTTCGGCCTATTAGCAAAAGGATGGACGCAAACACGTTTTCTAAATTGTTCAAGATTGTGGGGTTTTTTTGCACAAGAAAATACATATATATTGACATATATTGACACTTGCATTGCCAATCCCGTAAAAGCTGTACCACAGGTGAAAATCTGACTTTTACCAAGTCTAATCTTAAGTTACATTCATTTGATTACAGATGGCTATAAATATGATGACGGCGATGTTGACGACAACGTTACCGATAATTTGTCTGAAATGAAATGAAATTGGGTTTAACGTCCAACTTTTCACCACCAACCGGGCTAATGAAGATGAGAAAATTTTCAAAACGAGTGTCACAATGCGCATTTTAGCTGATCTCTTTTCGTAAATTGTAATGCAATAGTGTTGCTGATATCACAAGGATACAACATTTCATATCATATTTGTTTTTTATTTCTATTTTCAGATAAGGAATAAAGTTTTTTGTTTGGCGTAATACATTTCATAATGGAAACGGATAATATTTGTACGAAAATTGTTGGAAATGACGAGTTGGTTCCATTTGATGATTTTGACCTGGGTCATTTACCAGAAGAATGGCGACATGAAGAACTTTTGGAATTGATCAAAGGCGCGGGAAAATTGGTAGCTCGAGTAAAGGTTACGTCTGACTCTGGCGAAGATCTGTATAGTTCGGGTCTCGTGATCAAATATGGCGGAAGTTTTGCAATTCAAACAAATAATAAATTTATTGAAAATGTCACCATGGCAACCGGGTGTGAAATCGAATTTAGTTTTGACAAAGAAGACCGAAATGATGTAATAAAATGTGTAGGAACTGGTATAGTGGAGACTTCAAAAATGCTGGACAAAACCCTCGTCTCGTTTGAACCAATTCCTGATTTTCTGAATGAGTTAAATATAATGGACGACAAGTATTTTCTTCCAGATATTGAAACCGTCAATCAAGACGGTGTGAACGAAAACGCGACATCTTTGATAATGATGTCTCAGAATAAGGCCTATCTGTTCCTTCCTGAAAACGAAGACGTTAACAAAAAGGCTGATGTGAAAATACGATTCTGTGACGGAACCGTCAGCGACTTAACTAGTAACTGGATTACATTTGAACCCATTCCCGACGAATTGAAATCTAATCCCCACCACGAGGCTTATTCCTCTTGTAAAGTTCTGATATGTACCACTACAGATGGGCGTACCGTCGGCGCTACGACAGAATTCTTCTCTGGTCATATAGTGTTGAAGATGCTACAACCCGTCACTTTGGAAGAGGCAAAAAACTCTGTTATATATTTTTACGGCGACAATGACAATGAGTTTTTAGGAACGGGGTTATACTTTAAAAAATCGATTTTAGAATCGGCCCGCGCAATTAATGGTCTCGAAATCAACATTCCCAAAGCAGACACAAGCTCAGAACATGAACTTTTGGCGCGAATATTTGACTCATTTTGGTTGCTATCGTTTAAACCCGTACCAAATCCAATTCAGCACGACATGTCAAAAAGGAAAAGAAGCTGTACACTTTTAGAAAACGACCAAGGAGGAGTTGTCGTTATTGGACATCCCAGTGGTAAAATAAAAATGGCTGCTGCGGGTAAGATTGTAAGGAGTGGAGTATATCATGATAAAGAAAATGGTGATATTGGTTTTGAAGTCATTTTCGAAGCTAAAACTGTAAAGCAGGATTTAGTAGGTTCCTTAGTCTTGTGTCTACAAACGGGGAAAATATACCACCTTAAGGAAGTATTATCGGCAAATAGCGATGAAGAAGCCGATATGTGTCGTGCTGTGTTAGGAATCAGACTAGATCAGCTTTTTAAAGTGAATAAACCTAAACGTGATTAATATTTATTATTTCTGCGGTTAAAAAAGCCGTCCAAATAAACAGGCATGTGTATAGATGTGTCGGCGAAAGCTTATTAAAGATGGATTTCAAACTGGCTTGAAGTTTTATCTGCTTCCTTCTCTTCGTTTATATCACATTAAACATTTGGCACGTACGTTATCTCGACAGTTATCTATTTTATTATATAGTTTATGTATTCATATGCCATTTTGAATCATATTTGTCGGTTATGTATTATTTCAGTCACTCTTAAGTCCATTATGCTAATTTGCAAAGTTTGTTTTTATATTTTCTTAGTAAATAGTTTACAATATGTATCCGGTTCATGTCATCTAATATCCGATAAGTCTTATGAAAATACAGACAAGAATAAAGAGGGAACACAGTATCATTTGCATTTATTTTTTCATTCGGGATTTCTTTTGTATAGAAGCGCATAGATTTTCATTTAACAACTTCCTGGTGGCTGATGTTTAACGTCTACTTCCAGAATAAATGACATCGCAGACAAGACGGACTGCCTAGCAGATGACACAAGCTGGATAGATTTGTAGAATGATCGATGACCTCAAAATCATACCAACGTCTCATCTCCGGCCTAAAATGTCTTCCCTTTGACTATAGCCAGCACCGTGACCCGCAAAGTGACTCAAACCTAAAACATACTATAAGTATAAAAAAGTAATGGAATTTGGAGTCATTTATCTCCATTTTTATGTATTTTCGTGCTACATTAATTTACCTTGCATTGTTCTTCCGGTATGGATATAGGGATAACTGTAATACTTTGGTCCTTACGGCCATAGTGTATCTTTAAAGGCTCAATACCACTCTTGTTGTAACTGAATAATATGTCCCAATCTTTATTCTGGTCAACAAATTGTACTATTTTAGAATATTTCAATTAATTGATGATACAAATTTCATCTTAACACACCTTATTTAAAAAATTTGAAAAATTCAACATAATGGTTTGAAACGTCTAACGTAAACCTTTTCAAATGAAACTTCGATTTAAAAATATTTTCGAACCCTCTGGACAAGTAAAATAGAAAGTAATGGATAATTTACACAACAGGTAGGACACTTAAACATCTAGTACTTAGATAGAGATCTCAGATATTATTTATTTTCTGGAGCTTTCAAGCCAGCAAGAGTGTTATTGTCCCTTTAACTAATTATTGGTTCACATTTTCTATAGAATCAAATCCCACGTACTAATGAAAGTGAATGACATGTTTATACATAAAAAAACAGTGATATTTTGGTAAAATCCTTTCCATTGTCAAAATATCCATCAAATTCTATGTGTTTATAACATGTATTTGGTAGACCAAATAAGGTAATGTTCTCTCTCTCCCGGTCTTGGGAGAATGGGGATGTTTATTCCGTATTTGTGAAGAAAATAAACGCCAAGGTCAGTATATAACTTATAACGTACAGAAATAAGGGTGTGTTGAGCGAAATTGATCAGAACTCACACAGTTATTACGAGCAGCCATCGTCTATGCTTTATTGAGAACGAGGGCCATCGAAGCCAAACAGTTTAACAATAAAGTTGTAGGAACAACTAACCTGTAGTTTTATTTACGATCACAAAGACAAGGAAGTCCGATATTACAAGGAGTATGGCCGTCGGTTGTTTTCCTTAAGTGTTTGAAAACGAGGTTGTTTCCCCTTGCATATCGTAGATTATGTGAATTTCTTAGTAGAGTGGACTGGAATCAGGCTAAATGCCGTACTATACTACACGATGTAGTGTGCTACGACAAAAATTTTGCCCGGACAGCGGCACTACAGCCTGCTTGAATTCGATTCTTTTACGCCGATGTGTACTCGGGACGAATAGATACTGTTCCTCTCCAGTGGCGGATTAAGCTCCACCAAGGCCTGAGGCGGCAGTTGCTGGAGGGCCTATTTAATTTCGGGTCAGGGCCTATGTTGATTCCCGTTGGGCCTAAACCCCACCCCCCTAACATTCATTGTCTATGCGTTTTTAATCGTATCAGACAAGTCTAAAAAATTTTTTTTTTACAAAATCTTTGGGCCTGAGGCTGCAGCCTCATCAGCCTCAATGATAATCCGCTACTGTTCCTCTCCAGGCTTTCATGTTCGCTTACAGGGGTTCACTTATACAGTGTTGGTCGTGAAAGATCCCCGGGATTTTGCGTCGTGGTTTCCTCTTGTCAGTGATGCAGGGCGGTGTGCCTGTCAAGGACTGGCGTCTAGTCGTTCGGATGGGACATAAAGCCTATTAATTACATGAGAAGGGATTCAATGACGGACACTTTGCCAGCCGCATACTCTGCTTTTATTTGCTTGGTACAATAAAAGGTCAAGGAAAATCTATATTAGTCATCTTAAGACTTATATCCAGTTTAATAAATTATCCACTGCCTAAAATACAACGAACTTGAGATATCGCTTTCTTCTAGGTGTACGTAATATTTAAGAAGGTAATTATTAATTCTAAGCATAATTATTTAATTTTCAGCATAGGTAAGAATCGTTTGAAACATGAGTAAAACTTGAGTTTGATGGGTTTTAGGACGAGTAGCATTTATATTCATATTTTCTAACTTACCCATAAGTGCGTTCACTTCAATTTCAGTATTTATGATATGTGAAATGCAAAATATGTAGGACAACTGCTCTCATTAATTAAATGGTTTCGTTTTTTAAGTAGGATAGTCATGGCAGAAAAGTTGCCATATTTTTTTGCATACATTTCGTTCTATCTGACTGCATCAGTAGCCTTTTATGCCTAAAGGGACGGGAGAACCATTGTAGAAACGTAACTGCAATTACAATACAATAGAACTCTTGTGTTTATTTTGAAATGCATGTACTATTTTAATGTAAAGACTCCTTTTATTTTATCACAGTAGAGAGTAAAAGGACCCCCATAAAGAATTGACCACGAAAAGGATACAAAAACATGTCGGTGTCAAATCAATAGAAATCAATATCGCTTTGATATTTTATCATCAGTGGCTACTGTCGGATTACAGTTATGATTTCCAAGAATGCATCCCGATTGTTTTAGTTTTTCGGACATTACGAAAACCTAGACCCTGTATACAAAATGGCAGTGAACGTCAAGATCTATTGAATTTCAAGATTAATAGGCCTGAGATAAAACGTCTCTACCTGGACAAAACGTTAGTGTATCTCCATAGGCGTAGGGGACAATGTCATCGGGGGTAGGGGGGGGGGGGCTATTTGGCCGAAAACCTTTTTTTTTTGTTACTCGAATTTTCAGAATGTGTCAACCAAAAGGAGTTTTCCACTATGTTATTGTGCGAGGTCTTAAGTATTGTAGTATTCAAAACGTAAACCGCGAGCGATTTCATTTTACAATTATACTATCATATTTCTATGATATACGGTCTCATTCTTTGACGTTGTGTCCGAAAAACGGAAATACATTACCCACCTACCCCCCCGCACCACCGGTTCATACGCCTATGTGTATCTCAGTTGAGAGCCAGTGGTCTTTCGTGGAGAGGTCTGAACAAGTTCCGTTTCGAATTCATTTAAATTACCTTAAACATACATCATGCAAGAGCTAAATCTGCCTATTGCAGGTCTTTCTTTAGACCTGACATATTGTTATCTAAATTATTAATTAGACATTATCCAGACCGTAGTCAACTCTCTATTGCAACGCTAGTCTGCGATATTTACTGGATTAGGATCCAATTTGCTGATCAACTTTCATTCATGATTAAATCATGACGTGGATAATCAAGACTATATTTTATATCGTTCTGATTTAAGAAATGATGATCGAGGCTAGGCCGAAAATTCAATCGTTAAATTCTTGGCTCAGAGTGGATCAATTTGACTGAAATTTCAGCAAATTTCCTTCACATTATCTGTCGTGCGACAAAGCCGTAAAGTGCATAATTATAGTAACCACTGGCTATAAGTACATGCAATTTAGGTTTTTTGTCTTATGTGCTCTTTAAGCCTAGCTCACAGCCCGGCGTACGTGTTACTACGGGCGGTCTACGGATGGGGGGGGGGGGGGCTTAGTAAACTCGTACCTGAAATACAACCTAAAGCCGCACCCTTCCCACTACATTAAACTGAAACATATTCATACACGACATTTCTGATAATCAAATATTTATTTTCATACGTACAGATATATACAAATTATAAAACCAAAAAAAGACGTGTTGCTAGACAACGAAACATACACCCACTCGCAACTCTTTGGAAAGTACATATACGTAAAATCTGGCTTTGATGACAAACGTACCCTACATTCTAATTAGTTCTACAACCATTTTTAAAAAAATAAACTATTTAGAAACTATGGGGCTGTCAGTATTCAGCTTTTCAAGACGAATCATACATCTGACTTGTTTTTTAACAGGTGAAAATGATAGGATCGATAACCTCATCATTAATTTTGAAAGACGCTATCCCAGTGACTAAACTAGTCAAATCCCAGTAAGTTTGAATAATTTGAAAAAAAAAGTTTAACAATTCTGACATGCAATGATTTGGGGAGGTGAGGGGTGGGGTAGTAACTTGATTTCGGCAGTATTCGTCTTTATGACCAGGCAAAAAAATCTTAGAAAATTTGCAATAGAAAACAAAAAATAAAACTGACATATATTTCGTTTCGTTCTCTTTATACTTTTATACTTGAACTATAAAAAAACGAAACGAAATAAGATTGTCATTCAAGATTTTGGGTAGACGGACGGACAGTGTTAAAGGCAATATACGAACACATTAATAGTTGGGTGTATTAAAACACAGAGATGAGTAGCAATTTTATGGTTCGGCTGCAGAGATTGGATCAAAGAGATCATGATACGTTATTTAATATTTTGTAATACCAATAAAATATTTGATAAAATATCATGCATGTAGATAATCATTCTTTGTCAACACATTCTTTGTTGCTTAAGCAAGGCTGACACTTGCACGATTCCGTGGCTCGAGTCGTGCCAGTGCGCAAACTAGTCGTAAACTGGCGTGAAGTGTGCGTAAACCCGTCGTGACTGCGTGCCATGTCGGGACGAGAATTTTGAAATGTTCAAAATTTTGGTCACGACAAAATTTAGCGACCGGGTCGTGAACTATGCGCAAACTGTTCGTGAACTCGTCGTGAACTCGTCGGGACGATGCGGGAGGATGCGTGCCAGTGCGTGGCGTTCAGTCAGTAAACTTTCATACTGTCCAAACTCTTGCCTTCTGGTCAACCATTCCCTGACCCACACTTTCCTTTGTGTCTTTCTTCGAGGTGGGGTTGACTTTTCTTGCTCTTCTGCCTCTTCCAGCCTTTTCTGCTGCTCTTGAACAATGGCTAGAGCAGCTGCCAGGTATAGGCAACTTCTCTTCCCTGCAATGATTGTGTCTCTGACATTCAGCATGTTGTCTCTTCCACGGCCAATCCAAAAATGACCAGGGGTTGGGGAGGACCCCTTTTTATATGGCGTGCCCAAGTCGGCACGACACCGTCCGAATTGCTCAAACTCGTCGTGCCAATGCGGGAAGTGCGTAAACAATGCGCAAACTATGCGCAAACTATGCGTGAACTCGTCGTGCCAGCCAGTTCGTGTCAATGTGGACACTGATGGGCACGCATTCGTGAACTCGTCGTGAACTATGCGTGAACTAGTCGTGAACTTTGAGGGAGCCTCCCAGTTCGTGCCCCAAAATGGCACGACTTGCAACGACAAAATCGTGGCCAAAAGTCGTGCAAGTGTCAGCCTGGCATTAACCTAATAAAAAAGTGATATGAAATTGACATTGATATGGATTCTCGACAAAAACGGCTGTCCGTAAAGCAAGTAGAAGTTAGATTCATGCTAAACTTATCTAAGAAAGGGGTGGGGCGTTAGCACCAAAATGCCCCTTTTAATTAATTTGCGTTCTGTTTGTTTGGGCTTCTCGTGTATCTAATTGGGCGAATCGACGTTAGCTGATAGTCTAGAAGTGTACAGCGTATTTATGTTCCTATTTCTAATAATTAGCACTAATCCACGCATTTTGGCAAAATCGCATAATGTACATTAAAGGGAGTATATCTCCAGTTCAATATTATCCGTAAGATTCGACATTAAAAACACAAATAAGAATTCAACATTGGTCCATTACAATCAATATTGATGTTATCTTACCGTGAAATTAATACAAATTGATAATTTGAAGATCAGTTCCCGACGTCGAGTTCGAACGTCATTGATAATGAAAAGACTTGATGAACAAATCAAAACATCGATTACACATGGCTGATCCACAAACTATAAAAAAGATGAACTTGTTGACTGGATTAACCAGGTGCAAACAATTCTAACTCAATTTGGACTGCTCACGGATTTCATCGAACATAACTGATTAGAATAGTCCATAAGGCCAGATCACATTAATTTTTAATTTTTCAGGGTCTTTATTTTTACATAACCCACTCAATTCTAAAAGCTTTTGAGAAGAGCTTCTAAGTATTTTTTGTTTTCAAATCAGTATTTTTTCTGAAGAAATTGGAGGCAGAATTTTTAATTGGTGTTGCCGAAGAATAGATATTCAAATTAATGTGGCCTTATCATTCGCATAAGCCTAGATATGGTATCAAATGTCTATAGTGATTAACTAAGCATAGTGTGCTAGAATGGTAAAGATCGGCATAAAAAAGCACACAAATGTATATTGTGAGGTAGGAGGTTTAACCTTTTCAGTTAATCAAATTCATTTTACTGAGGTGAATGACCGTGACACCCAATAAACTCTTTTGTACATTTAGATATAAAATCGAGTCAAGAGCAAAATTGATATACATGCCAACGAATCTAATGAACAGTTTATATATATGTTGATATAACATTATGCAATTTTGATTTCTAAAGACAACTTATTCTAGAATATTTTCAGTTAATTTTCATATAGAAATGATTATACGAGGTGTTAACATAACACCTTAACGTCTAATAATACGATTAAGGAACCAGAAGTAACCTAAAGCCTAGCGTACACGGGCGATTTTCTTCGTTTGCTGAAGCAACCAGTAATTTCTGGACAATTGTGCGGTCAAAAGGTGTATAGATATACACCCATTTGCCGATTTTGTAATATCACGTGATATTTTGCGACAGATTACTTGATAGTGTATACACCACACTGATCCGCAGTGAATATTTGCTTGGCCGCGACAATCACTGATAAGGATGACATTGATGCGGCTTAATGAGCTAGAAATATTAACATTTTTCCTGCGACAAATTAAATTCTAAAACATTTTTTGTATATATTTGAAAAATAAATAAAGGCGTTTGACGTATTTGTAGGTAAAAACTATTTCCGATTTAGTGTAAATGGGTATTACATTGACTAAAATGCAGCATTCTCTCCGAAGCAGTTATGTCTTATGTAAACAATGCACGCGCCATTCAGCCAATGATTCACACCGCGTGCTGTGACAGCACGTGTTAAGGCAGTCATCTATGACAGAGATATTATACGAGACTCGTAATTCTCTGTGAAACAGATTGTGTGTACACAGCCACTGATGAGAAATATATTGGCAACCCTCACAGGCGACAAAAATAGATATCCGTTTCCGTTGCAATGACGCGCACAAGGGCGGTTTCTAGCAATATGGAGGCAAGTAAAGTCGCTTAAAAGTTACCCGTGTGAGCTAGGCTTTAAAGATAATAAATATGAAATTATGACACATAATATGCCGATTATATTGTATGTATGAAGTTTCAATTCATTGATTTTTTTCACTTTGTGAAATATCGCCTGGTGGTTTATGTTGGTTTGGTGAGAATCAAATGAAGGCAATATGTCGGCATATCGGGAGATCTTATTGGTGTGATACAAGACACAATAATAGGAACACAATGCGTCATTAATGTATGTTGCAACGTCACTGGGTGTTTCTTGCTAGTAAAACTTTATATGATAAGATCTGGACAAAATATACATTTTACATATTGACAGAGCAGCAGGTGTCAATGAAAAGAATCAGGCTTATAATTTGTCCAAAATTTTTTTAAAAAAAAAAACCTCAAGAAAATATCAGTTTTCTATTTCTTTGATTAGCAGCCAGATCAGTATACAGAAACAACCATATTATTTAGTTGGCCTTGTTGTCACACATATATATCTTGACTTTTGTTTGAAACACAGGTTACCGAGCGTAGCGATAGATTGGTTATCCCCACCAGTCCTTCAACAATCAACAATATGAATCAAAGTTCTTAGTAACATTACTCATTTTTCCTTTACTAGCCTTGATACAAGACATCTTCGCCGAGGAATTGGTTTAAAGCTGAGATGTGTACAAGTTCTTCTTTTTTCAAAATAGTCGACGATTACCGAGTGGATTGTTCTGTGTTACAGTAATTTGGATGAAGTGATAACAAACAAAATGACTATAGACAATAACAACAGTCCCGCACAGAAAGCACACGATAATAATCCCGCTGATCGTTTAGGGCCATTCTGAAAATACAAAAACCGATAAAATCAAAGGATAATTGAATATTTAGAAATAATTGCCTGATTTTATTCTACACATTCATCGGTATAATTGGATAATTTGTCAGGAAGTGGAACATTTTTGTCCTTATACAATTTGTACCAGACACCAATTACTGAAATTGGGTGGATGCCGTAGACACCAGTTCCACTCAGTGGAAGAGGTCGTAATGACATTTTCTACTACTTCCAGATATTTGAAGTCATTGGAGTCATTGTCATTTTGGTTTTAATAGAGAGAAGATCAGGGTTCGTAAGTTATTTTTAACCAATTTCCCTGATATTGTAAAAGACAAAACACGGGAATTCATTTTGCTGGAATGGTCAGGAAGAAGAGTACGACACACTTAATGACAAAGCCGGGAGATTGTAATTGTAGGCCGGTTGGGGAGCTTCGGGAATTTCCGATGACTGCCGAATCCATTCCCATAAATGAGTCTTTTGGGGGAATACCAATTCTAAAACTAACCCTTTATAAAAGACCTTACTTGGATCCAATTTACCTGTTACCCCTCCTAAAAGAGTTAGGGTTAGTATTCCCCAAAATACACATTTATACAAAGCGGCCATTGTGGACTCAACTTCTGTCCAATTTACCGTCGGAAATTCCCGAACATCCCCAACCCGCCTACAATTAGCATCTCCCGACAAAGCTTTGTGTAGATTAAAGGGACATAATGCTAAAAATCTATTACGATGGGATTTTCCCTTTTATAGGTGCATTAATAATCATATTAACACCATGGTGTGCCTGATAAATATATAAACGGTCGAATCATCACAATTTAAACTTTAAAAATCTTTGTACTTCTTTTTTAAATAGAAATGTATGCACATGTATGCCGATACCCCCAAGGGCTATGACACAAAATTCATGTGATGTTATATTGGACGAAGTTCACCCATGAAGACATATTTGTACAAAAATGGATTTTTGTCAGTTATACTTAACCGATTTAGTTCATTTAATCTTAAATTCATAATAAATCGAGTATAACCTGATTTTATGAACGTCAACAAAGAAGTCGCTCAACATAATGTTCCTCCAATGGCCTCTATCTACGATGCTCATTCACAGGGTCGGATTAAGCCTGCAAGGGGCCACTGGCTGAACATGCCCTCCCCCGGCTACAGCCCAGTCAGCTCCCCCCCCCCTTAATTCAACCCTTGTCATTCATACGGTGGCTAGGAACCCCCAAAATGTGATACGGTTCTGCAGTTCATATTAAAGGATCAGTTTACTTACGGCATTGCTTTTATCGACCGGTACGGCCTGTACTTTTCCTTCCTTCCAAACATATCTTACAGTGGACATGGAGTCGTGGAAAACAAGATTACAGTTCTTATAGGAATATTTACTTCCAGGTGTTGGCGGACCATTATATTGATTGTTCACGTCTATACGACTTAATAATACATAGTCACTTGAATGGCTACGTGTTTCCTCATCCCTACTGTTCGAGTCTGGATTTATGTTCACTTTTACGTCACTGCAGGCGGCATCAGACATCAACGGAAGTTCACTTCCGGTGGCATCGCATGTCACGTGACTGGGATATAGGTGAGCCTCGCTATAAGAAGGTGGCTCCACATTTTTTCTGTCCTCTGAAAAAGATAATATAACTTAATACATGTATATAACTGATGAGTTAGAACTCAACCAAACAAACTTTAGACATCAGTTTTTCTGTTACTGTCTTCACAAGTTCTCTACACGTAACAATTCGGACGAATGTTGCCCAGAAATGTTTATAATCATCTTGCCAAACCATTTTGATTGCATATGCATGATATATTTCTAGACGAGGAACTGGTCCCCATGAAGTACTCATATTGTTCCTGTTGGTTTGTTGTTGTTTTTTTTGGGGGGGTGGGGGGGTGGGAGGCATAAGGCTCCGCCAATTGAAATTCAATCGACATTAAACTCGGCATGAGTGTTCCTTGGATATGGACGGACGTGGATTTTTGATATAATACATAACAATACCAAGATGGTGTCGATGACTCATGCTTGGTTCCTAGTTTAAAGGAGCTAAATCGGTAATATTTTGGGCCTAGAAATTGGCACAAATGGGTCGCAACACATATAATAATGCAATATGAATTTATATAAACTGTTTTACATTCAATCGTTTCCGTTTTACTGTGAATGGTCATCAGTTATGTTCGGCGAAATACGCCAGAAGTCTCAACCGAAAGGCAGTTTCTAGCATCTGGTTATTCCAGTCAACACTGATAGTATATATTGCGCATGCTCTCCAAATAAGAATATGGCATCACCGTATGACATGACTTGTGGAATATGTCTAGCCTCATTCTCAGAGCACCTTGTTACAAATGGCGCTGAAACACATTATGGTACACGATTCGTGTACCAATGGTAAAATGTTTATTTTGTCTTAAATATTGGATATCAGAAGCCCATCTTTTCCAGGTAAGACCACAACACCAATGCTGATTTAAATTGCAAAAGAATTCGTGTTTTCAATGTCGAAGAGTTTGGATGGTACTGAGTTACGGACTTAGCTACTTTAAAGTATGCTCGTACTTGTTTTGAAAAAGACCGGATGACATCTACAGATAAAAATGCATTACTATAAATTTGAACCCTCAATTATGTATTGGGAACTGATCTGGGAAATTAATAGGATATAAGAACAAATCCCCCTTGATGTTAATATCAGTAATAACACTTTCATGAAAATCGGATTGTATGATATCATGGTGTGTCTAGAAATCACAAACCCCCTTCAAATTCCAAATCTATTACATAAATTACTTGAAAATCGAACAATAATTGTGGCCTTTGAAACATTACAGAGGTATTGGCGGTTTAGGTGTCTCCGCATGTTGGTCAAAAATTTCCAATTAATCATGCCATCTCTGCGGGCGTATTCACATATCGGTAACCGGCCATGCCATCGCTGAGATATTCACGTAATCAAGTATTGGTGCGATTTCAAGGAGTTTAACCAACGTTTAACGAAAATAACTGACCTTAGTTATGCCAGTGTTGGATATTCTGTAATTTGGTGAGTCTACTGCTGTTCTGAATACGTTTTTCTAAAATTAATTACAATTATTTTCTTGGCGAGAGTGATAATGTGTCTTTAATAAGGTTTTACCTGATGAACAAGATACTTAACATTTGATAGTCTATATAATTAGTATTTCCAATGTAAGAGTTAAAATGTCGGTCAACTAGCTTCGTCTCTGTTGTAGACTAACATGGTAAGTTTCGTATTCAGGGAGTAATATTTGTCTTTTAGCTACCTTTACAAGTATTTCAAATGTAAAAGTTAAAATGTCGGTCAACTAGGTTCGTGTCTGTTGTAGACTAACATGGCAAGTTTCGTATTCAGGGGAGTAATGTCTGTCCTTTAGCTACCTTTACAAAACATTTCTAATGGAAACATAATACGCACAGACCTTGAATTGTGTGGATTCACAATGAGACGAGCTCAATATGGGTTGTTTACACATATTTTTAAAATCTAAGTTTTATTCCGCTTCTAGAATATCTAATAATATTATTGTATAGATCAACAAGCCTCGACTTTCTTTATTTATGATCCTAAATAAATATCAAATAAAGACCATGTTAGAAATGTCGCAACATTCTGGAATTTATCAATTTACTTTATCAATGGAAGTCTGGATGATCCAAACAACAAGCACCTGTCTGTGAATATGATAAATTACCAAGTCGGAAGAGAATGCCATCAGTATTAATAACCGAAGATATTATTAGACGTAATATTGAACCGAAATAAATCATTCGAGTGGCAGATTTATCGAACAATTCATCCTCGTTACATATCAACCCGACATTTCCAAAAATAGTCACACATTCTCATTACCTCACTTCGTGGCTCGTGGACAACATGGCGCCAGGGTTTCTAAAATAGTCCAGGACGTCCGGAAATTCATAGAAGGAGTAAATGTTAGAAACTAATTGATTTAATCGTTGACAGAAATATACAATTTTTGTAGAGTAAATCATTGAATGGCGTATAGCTATATTCTTTAGAACCTTAAAATAGATGCAAATTAGTCTACAAGCACATATTAATGAAATATGAGTGTATATAAAGTGGTTTACATTCAATTTTATTGTAATTTATTATGTTCGGTGAAATACGCAAACAGTCCAAATTAAACGACAGTCAATTAGCCGTTGCCTAGTTCATTCCACCTGTTTTGTTTGTATATTATTATTTTGTCGTTTGTGAATCAGCCATTTTTAAATACTCCCGCGTTGTCTTCTGTGTTATGTTTGTCTTTGTTCATTACAAATGGCGCTCGCTACCTTTATATCCACAGAGTACACGACGTCGTGTATACTGATCTTAAAATATTCTCTGTCTTAAATTTTTGATATTAGGATCACACATTTTTACGGTAAAACAACACCAATATTGATTGTAATGGACTAATAAGGAATTCTAATTCGTGTTTGTAATTTCGAATATTATGGCTAATATTGAGTTAGAGGTTTAGTTCCTTTATGATAGATATAATTTTGTGAAATTCACCTCCATAGCATTACACAAGCCACCATAGAAAACTAATTAACCAAATGTTAGTCTCTAAGTAAGTCATTACCACATTATACTTCATTTCTAATTCGGTGGCTAATATTTAAACATACATTATGCAAAAGCTACGAGCGTAAATCTGTCAATTGGAGATCTTTCTTTAGGACTGAAATGTTATCTAAATTATTAATTAGACATTAATTAACTTATCCAGACCATAATCAAATGTCGATGGCATCGCTAGCCTGAGATATTTACTGGATTAGAACCCGGACTGCTGCTTCTGATTAATCAAAAATGGATAACCGAGACTGTTTTTTTTATCGTACCGAATTTAGTAATGAGGATCGAGGCTAGGCCCAAATTAAATCGCTAAATACTTGGTTCAGGGTGGATAAATTTGATTGAAATTTTCAGCAAATTCCCCGTACATTATCTAGTTTTTAACTATTATAATGAGAACTTCCAGTTCTTTATCTAATCTCCCATAATGTATCTTTAAGCTAGTCCTGTGCGACATTCAAAGATAATAACGGCCCTTTCTCAAATGTGATTGGCGACAAGTTTCTGGGCTTACGTGAATAACCATGTCTGATAATCGTGTTTATTAGGGTGCACATTACAAGCAAACAATAGAGAAAATGACTTTATTACCTCACTACATCAAAGATAATAACTGTCATTTGATCAAGTGTGATTAGCTTTCAGTTGTCGTTATATATGGATAACCATGTCTGATGGTTTATTAGGTCACCCATTACAAGTAAACAATAAAGATAATTCATTATGCATGTTGCGTAAACCTGTTAAGAAATATTGGCGATTATGTTCGAACGGTTGTATCAACCACCGTGAATATTTTGGTTTTTAATGTTCCTACGCAACTGCCCATGGGACTGCCCGGTTATGCTAGAATTCCACCAACGCGTCTTCGTATTGATGAGAAGTTTTAGTAACAAAATGACCTAAATATAGTACCGACAATTCGTTTACATAAATTAATAATTTTCATATTTTCCTAATACTGAAGGTATTCCTGACAAACAATGTGATTACAATCGATATTTTTTAATTACCTGAGTTTATTGAAGGTTGTTAATTAATGATAGATTAACACGTGCTTCCACGCACCTGCTATAGATTTTTTTAGATTAATAAACCTGCAAACAATAGGAAATGCAAATGCAAATGCAAATACTGATCAAAGTTGTTTTTTTTATTTCGTCGATCGATCATTTCAATGATATATTCAAGGATATATCTCGTAGAATACCTTCAAAGCACAAAGAATTTGATTTTAATTCAGAACGTTATCGAGTTTCAGATTGATACAACGTTAAGTTTGGCGTCAGATCTGGGGTATTAAGAATTGGTCCAAAATGGCGACAACGTTAAGTTCGGCGTGAGGATTACCCGAGAATTTGATCAAAGATGGAAACAGCGTTAAGCTGGATGAGGTCTTTGATAAAACCAAAAGCTCTAGGATAAGATTTCTGCTCATCTCAATGCATACATGTATATAGGATTGAAGTTTGTTTGTTTGTTTGTTCAACGTTATTTGGTTGATTGTAAGAAAAGAAAATGCTTTGCGCTAGCAGGAGACACCCCTCCCCCCACCGGCCCGACTCACTCCTCGAACAGGATTTGTCTGGATCCCTACCGTATTGCTGACGTCATAATGTCATATCCAGAGCTAACTTACACGACTTACCATTACATAATTTATAATCTAACAAAGTATTACATTTTACATACATGGACTGAAATAACCAGACATTTTAATTTTCTTTGAAATGTGCTTCGGGTATAATGACGACACTGAAAGATAAATGGGTCTACATGGTAATGAGGCATCGATCAGGCATTTGTTGCTTTGAAGGAACGTTCTAGTTTAGTAGTTATCAGCAAATAATTTTCAATTTGACGTGGGTTGACTATACAGTCAGATCTGGGGGTATTACAATTAAAAACGCCATATGCGTGATTGAGCGATATAAAAAATAAATTATGATTCCCTTGCAAACTGCAATATTGTAAAAGTTGAATGTTTAATCTGTCTAAAAATGA